AATAAATTCTACCTTACAGGACTTTGTGGGAACAACTCAACACTCAATGCATGGAGAGTAACATGCAAGACAAGGTGTGTGTGGGCCCGCACTGTGCTTCTGGTCTTTTCACTGTCTACCCTCCTTCTTAGCCATCATTTATAGAACAAAGAAATGAACTGAATTCTACCCCAGTGATTTCCACTTTTTTTTCACTTTCAAACTTCAGGAATTTTTTTTTTCAAAGAAAGGTTACACTCAAACACTACAACATTAAAAAAAAAATCAAGCCAGGTCTGTTTTGATTGAACAGCAAAAGGGGCTTGGGGACCCTCTGGCTGAGACCATGTACTGTACTCAGGGTACAGCCCCTTCCAGAGAGTTTTAAGTGGTGACTCTGGGGGCTGGGCCCTAAATCTCTTGGGGATGAGCGATGTCCAACCTCTGCATGACTTCCAGGAGGGTCTGGTAGGTTCCCAGTGAGTTCCTACTGCTGACAGGAGTGGGTCTCATTCCTCAGGTGAACTGGGAAGGAGGGAAGGAAGCATGATGAGCACTGCTGTTTCAGTTTGACTTTGCATCATGAAATCGCGAGTCTGGCTGTGGAAGATCCTGTGTTTCTTGCTGTAGAGACTGAACATAGTTGGCCTGTTCCTTCTTGTCTCTTTCTTGGCTGGCTGTCCTTCTGGAAACATTTTATATGAATTGGCCTAGTCTTGAAGCCAGCAGGAGGCACTCTAAACACCTGATGCCCCTCGGCATTCCCGAGAGGGTCTTTCCTCTTGTGTCTTTACTGGACAAGCAGCTGGTAACCAGGGACATAAAAAAGGCCAAACTCGATGAACGCATTAAGGGCCTTGACAAGAATGCCAGGCCAGTTCCAGTTTGTCGTCTGCATGCCATCAATAGTGATACGGGAGCCTCACTTCAGCACCTCTAAGGAGATGGGCTGTCTCGGCTCTTTAAATCTTTGCAATTTAGGGCCTATCTTTATCTGCAATTCCATAAATCCAAAAGTCCTGAAAACCAAAAGTTTTTTCACAAGCTTGATGCAAATTCATGTGATGACAAAACCTTATGTGAACTGGGCCGGGCGTGGTGGCTCACACCTGTAATCCCAGCACTTTGGGAGGCAGAGATGGGTGGATCACCTGAAGTCGGAAGTTCAAGAGCAGCCTGGCCAACATGGTGAAACCCTATCTCCACTAAAAGTACAGAAATTGGCTGGGTATGGTGGCGCATGCCTGTGATCCCAGCTACTTGGGAGGCTGGGGCAGGAGAATTGCTTGAATCTGGGAGGCAGAGGTTGCAGTGAGCAAAGACTGTGCCATTGCATTCCAGCCTGGGCAACAGATACTCTGTCTCAAAAAAATAAAAACAAGGCCGCACGTGGTAGCTCAGGCCTGTAATCCCAGCACTTTGGGAGGCTAAAGTGGGCGGATCAAGAGGTCAGGAGTTCAAGACCAGCCTGGCCAACATGGTGAAACCCCATCTGTACTAAAAATACAAAAATTAGCTGGGCATGGTGGCACCCGCCTGCAGTCCCAGTTACTCGGGAGGCCAAGGCAGGAGAATTGCTTGAACCTGGGAGGCGGAGGTTGCAGTGAGCCAAGATCGTACCACTGCACTCCAGCCTGGGCAACAGAGTGAAACTCCGTGTCAAAAAACAAACAAAAACAGAAACACAAAACCAAAACAAAAATCAAAACAACAACAACAAAAAACCCAAAAAAAATCCTGGAGGTTGACTTTAGGCTTTGTTTATAAAGACTCCATTTATTCCTATATTTACAGTGTGAACAGTCATAACTTTTGCTGTTTGAGTATTAATGTGTTTGTGGGAACTTAATGTGTTTGTTTGTCATGGATCTTGCTGGGAATATAACATAATACAAGGTAGATCCCTTTCTAAAACATAAAAACATTCTGGCCTCAAGGGCTTCAGGTAATGAATTATAGACCATTACTTAATTCCTAAAGTTGTAACACCTTTGTACCTGACTTCTTGATAACTTATAGTTAGTAACAGCTTACATTAATCATCAAATCTAGCTATCGCTAATAAAAACATAATAGAAGTGGCTGTTATTTTCCCACTTAGCAAGATTTTTTCATGGTGGTCAGGGCTACATACTGGGTCCAGATGATGTTAGGCGATAATGGCAACAAAGTTGCAAACTGTACATTTCAACATCTTGTCAATCAAAAGCTCCTTGAAAGTATGCTCTAGGTCTGTAGTCAGCCTCGAAGATGATTGTCCCTTCTAGTATTCACTCATATGTAGTCCCCTGCCACACACCCAGGGCTGGTCTGTGTGATCAACAGCATACTGCAGAAGTGATGATACAGCACTCCTGAGGTTAGGTAGAAGACTGCTGCTTCTGTCTCTCTGATCACTTGCCCTGGAGGAAGCCCGCAGCCAGGCCACAAGGACACTCAGGCACTGGGTATGGAGAGGCCCACAATGGCAAAAACGGGAAGCCTCCAACCAACAGTCGGTGAGGAACTCAGACCTGTCTACAACCACATGGGTGAGCCTGGAAGCAGATTCTCTAGTCACAGCTGAGTCTTGAGGTGACTGTGGCCCCAGTAAACAACTCAACTGCAATCTTCTCAGAAACCCTGAACCAGAGCCATCCAGTCTATGATGTTCTCAGATTCCTGACCCTAAGGCATTGTGAGATAATAAATGTTTGCTATTTTAAAGCTCCTAATTTGTGGGATAATTTCTTATGTAGCAAGAGGTAACTAACACAACATCATTCACCTTTATGTTGCCAGAATCTAAAAAAAAAAAAAAATACCTGGGCACAAATTGGGTGCCAAAATCAGTACTTGCTGAATGAAGAGCAAATGAATGGTGGAAACTCAATCTGCATCAGAAGACTTGAACTCAACCATCTAACATTCAAGAATAGAAGGGAACAAGTAAGTTTTCTGACTCAATGACTTTTAAATGTGAAATTGAATTTAGTGCAGTTACTTTCTCTTAAAGTTCATTTGCATGGAGGTGAAAAAAGGTTTCACTGAAGTTGCACCTGGTACACTTTGGGACTGCATTTACGCTGGCACACTCGATTGACAGTCTCTCTGATCTCCAAGCAAGTGCCATGCTCCCGGGAAAGCACACATTTGAGGAAGTTACAGAAAAGCAACCCTTCAGCCAAGAACAGTCTTCCCCAGGTAAGAAACTACAATGATCACTTGACAATGTACAACCTCACTGCTTATAACCCAGGAAATATCTGAGATCGCAGTGAATTTGATGGGAGTAAAATTTATTTTTTTAAATCAGCCAGATGTCCCATCTGTACATTTCTCTCATTTTGAGGTAAGTAGCCTTTAGCATCTTTGTATAATTTTATTCAGGCAGACAATATCTTTTTATACACCTTTCCCCCACCAAAAAGTTGCTCCGTGACAGTAGCTGAACCTAAGTGCACCACGGAGCAGTTTTTTCTCTACAGTCCCTTAGCTCAAGGTTCTAGTTTGAAAGTGTAGAAAAGAGATGTTGCAGTTCCGAGTACAGTTTAAAAAAAAAAAGAGAGAGAGAGAGATAAAGAGACTAATAAAGACTGAGACACACCTGAAACAGGTACTAGGTCATATATGATTTTTACCCCCAGCACCTCAGCAGAAGAGTTGGTAGCTAATGGATCCTCAAAGATGTGTACTGAATGAATGTTATCTTTATTGTGGTAAAGGGTATATTCTTGAATCCATTCCTGGCCTTCTTTCAGTGAATCAAACATATGCACTTTTTTTTTTTTTTTTTTTTTTTTTTGCTAGCTCGGGAACTTTGGACATGCCTGGAATGTCCTGCCCCAGCCCCTTCTTAAACAGTGGTAAATGGGAGTAAATGGTATCATACTAAGGCCCTAGCAGAAAGTCTGGGTGTCATCTTTAACTCTCTCCCTTACTTTTCCACAACTAATTCATCATCAAGTCTTACTGCTTTTAACTCTGAAAATATATCTGGAGAATCTACCATCTTCTCTCCTTCTGCCCCTGCTGCATCCCAAGCCCTCATCGGTTTCCACCGGGATCACTCTAGGAGTCTCCTATCCGGATGCTGGCTTCCACTCTTCCCGCCTCTAGTCCATTCTCCACTTGGCAGCCTGCAGGATTGTTTTAAGAATGTAAATTGAATGAAAAATTTTCCCTACTTAAAAGTCTTCCTTTTGCTTTTTTTTTTTTTTTTTTTTTTTTGAGACGGAGTCTTGCTCTGTCGCCCGGGCTTGAGTGCAGTGGCCGGATCTCAGCTCACTGCAAGCTCCGCCTCCCAGGTTCACGCCATTCTCCTGCCTCAGCCTCCCGAGTAGCTGGGACTACAGGCGCCCGTCACCTCGCCTGGCTAGTTTTTTGTATTTTTTAGTAGAGATGGGGTTTCACCGTGTTAGCCAGGATGGTCTCGATCTCCTGACCTTGTGATCCGCCCGCCTCGGCCTCCCAAAGTGCTGGGATTACAGGCTTGAGCCACCGCGCCCGGCCTATTCCTTTTGCTTTTGAATAAAGTAAAAAATGTCTTACCTTGGTCTTCAAGTCCCTGCTGGTCTGACCCTTACCTGCTACTCCCCTCTAATTTTTGTTACTTCCTCACCACTACCATGTAGCCACACTAGCCTTCTTTCAGTTAACCAAATATTACTCAAACATGACTCCACCTCTAGGGAGTGATTTTCCTTATTCTGCCAAGTAGGGATTCATCCCGAACAGCTACCCCTTGTTATTCTCTATTACTGTATGCTGTTTACTTCCTTCAGAGCATTTATCACCACAATTTGTAATCATATTTGTCTGTCTCCCAGATGGCCTGTATACTCTAAAAGGACTTGGGGACTATTTTCTTAACAACTGCATTTGTGCCTATTAGGCATTACCCAGCAGGGTGTGAGACACTTCAGCCACTTGAGAATGCAATGGGCACACGTAAGTGAAGGACATGTCACCCTCAGGACAGGAGGGGAAGGAGCTGGGGTCACCCTGTCTTGGAGGCACCTTCCTGCAGCTCCGGCACTTACTTGCTGACAGGCCACTGCTAGCACTCATGGAGCGGCCTGGCTCAGGGCGGGATTTGGTGATAGATGGAATACTGACTGAGCCACTGAATACTGTCCGACTTTCCTGAGGCCGAGGGTTCTATAAACAAAAGCAAGAGAGACATCCTTTAGCCAGAAAGAAACTGATTTTTCTGCAGAGATGTCTATTTTTCACTATAATTACCAAGAAATAAAGTCATCTTGACCAGAATGACACACAGTAAGGAACGGCAGATTATATAGTCTTTCCCATCCACAAAAGTAATAAAAACCTAGCATGAAGTAAATCTCATCCTAATCAGGAATAAGTACTTATACTTACTGAAATACTTATCAGTAAACAGCATTTTTTGGGTTGTAAAAACAGTAAGTAAAAGTTATATGGTTAGATGTGACAGTGAAGGGTAGAATTACATGGACATTTGCCGATAACTGAAAGTTTTTACCATGTATGACATTTTTATTTGCTCAACAGCTGAATAAGTCCGTTTGGAGAAAATTCTACTAAAATTATATTCTTCTCAAGAAAATGTTTTATTGATGTGATACTAAATGTGCCATTTATAAGTTCACACCCCGGTCACCAGGCATCTTTACGGACTCACACCAATAGTAATACTGGGATTAGAAATAAGACGCTGCAATACTCACAAACTAGGTGAAGTTAGTTAATTTGGGACTATTAGTTTGAAAACTAATTTCTGATGTAAATGGTACGGATTTGATTTCAAAGTTTATAAACAGGTTTATATACATTTACTTGGAAGATTTATCTACTCCTTACTGATTTTTCCATTTAATTACTGAATGATTTTAGTGTGAGGTAGGAAAATAGGCCACAGAATGTTTTGCAAATCACACACACCTAAAGGATAGCCAGAGAGGTGGTGTGCAGGGTGAGCTGTCTGGTTATAGTTGAGAACAGAAAGCAGGCAGACTCCCCAAAGGCCCCAATCTTTTTCAGACCAGAAGGATGAAATGTTGGGGCTGAAAAAGTACAGATATTGAATATTGAAAAATACTTCAATATTCTTTATAAATCCTGCAGAAGGCAAACTATATATACCATGTTATTAACATCTCTTTTAACACTCACAAGGCTTTTCTCCATTTGCTGACATAATCCCAGCCTCATGTAAGCATCTTCTGAAGCAAATGGTCTGGATTTGATTTCTTATAATTTATAAACAGATTTATATATATTTACCTGGAAGATTTATCTACTCCTTATTGATTTTTCTTTCATAGGTATGAAAATGATGGTAATCTTACTAGCCTATTGTCAGCCAGCCTCTCCTTCACTGGCTGTTCAAGAGGGTGTGCCATAAAGGCAGCATGGTGGCTGTGAGCACAGGCTACAGAGGGATTTGGCCCACTACTCACATCTGTGCTGCACAGTTGACTAACAGCAGGGCTTGGGGTTGCTAAACTCTGAGCCCCAGTTCCCTCAGCAGTATCATGGGGATAATTGCCTCCTGGGGCTTGTCTGAGGATGAAGCTAATTACACTAGCAAAAAGAAAGTATGTAGCCCAGTCCCACTATGTGCCCTTTCTTTCCTCTGTTCCAGTAACAACCTCATACAGCTATCTGCAATATCACTTTCAAACTTCCTTTTAGTCACATCAAAACAGCAATTCTGGCCAGGCGCGGTGGCTCAGGCCTGTAATCCCAGCACTTTGGGAGGCTGAGGTGGGCGGATCACGAGGTCAGGAGTTCAAGACCAGCCTGGCCAATATGGTGAAACCCTGTCTCTACTAAAAATACAAAAAATTAGCTGGTGTGGTGGCACGCACCTGTAGTCCCAGCTACTCAGGAGGCTGAGGCAGGAGAATTGCTTGAACCTGGGAGGTGGAGGTTGCCGGAGGAGCCAAGATCGTGCCACTGCACTCTGGCCTGGGCGACAGAGCGAGACTCCATCTCAAAACAACAACAACAAACTCCCAGCAATTCTGCTTGGTGGTGGGGGGATCACAAATTTTACATGTTTAAATAAGACCTTAACTCTATAACGGAAATGCAATGAAAAAAAAAATCACACACTGAAAGCCCTAAAAAAATCAAGTTTTGTGACTTTTCCAAAGGATCAATTTGTTAAGTAAAGCCAAATAGTTTAATTCCAAGTTAAATTATAACATGCAACTTTCCTTTGAAAAGAGATGCTCTCTTCATAGAATGCTATAGGCTACCGTTAGTATAGGGTAATCCTTTATCTTTTCTACATCATCAGAAAATCACACAGATAGTCATAGCCACTAGACATAACAAAATGTGACTGGAAGATATATTTATTAACCTGGTGTTCTCTCAGTGCTAACTAGTTCATTAAAATTGTTTGCTTTTTTTTTTCTGATTATAAAGGTAATACTCATGAACTGCAGAACATTATAATAATGAAATCATAAGGGACCAAAAAAGTCCCCTGTGAATTCACCAGATACTATTAACAATTTGATGTGTTTCCTATCTTTTCTTCCAACACAATTTCTTTAACCGTTGATGATAGTGTATCATGCTGTTTTCAAATGCAATAGAACACCAAGCTAACTAGTTATTTTTTAAAAATGTTACAACTGTCTGCCTCATTTTACTGTTTCAAAACCACAATCTTTTCTCATCGTTTTGGGCTCAGGAAATATTACTTTTTCTTCTAGTAGCTTAACACAGAAAATACATTAGAGAAATTTATTCACATACCTGCCATACGTTGATAAACTTTGTGGTATGACTTATGTTTATTCATGACTTATGTTATTTAATGTTAATAGAAATCTATCTTACCTAAATGGTTTTAGAAGTTTCAGTAAGAGAAAAGGCCTAAATGCTTAAATTACATTTTACATATTTTACTAAATGTCCTTATACTTGACCTTTAAACATGGAAACCCAGGGGGACACTGTTGGTAGGCACACCGTCCTCCACACTCACCACCTCAGGGTCCTCAGCTTTTGGGCTGACAGTTCATTTGTCCTGGTTATTCAGTAAGCATACGGTTCCCTAGCCTCAGTTCTTTAGTCATCACATAATTTCTTATACTGACTGCTATTACAATAACACTAAACTCTCCAGCACCTAAAATAGTTAGGTGCTGAAAGATATTTGCTGAATAAATAAATGGAAAATGAATAGATTATATCTGCAATCCCAATTTTCTAATTTGAGTATTGAGATTAATTCAGTTGGCAATGTAATTTCAAAATATGATCCTTTCTGTAAAACAGTGTTCAGTTAATATTGATTTGAAGTTACAGGTCTGTGTTTTAAAGATACAAAGTAACATTCTATGCAAACACTTAAAAGATGACTGTCTTCTTTGCTATATGATCTAGGTTAAATAATTTAACATAGAATACAATGAAATGGGCATAAATACTTAAGGCTTTTGAGGTTAAAAGAAACAAGCAATAAAGAAATGTACAAATGGGGCTAAAAATATTTTTTAGTTATAATAAAAGTCTAGAACTGGAAACTGAGTTCCCAGATGCCATGCAATTGTGAAACTCACTCCAAGGAGAGGTTAGAGCTCTGAGAAAGTTTGCAGCACTGAGCTTTCCTACATGCACCTGAAATGCCTGAGAAAAAGTTATGGCAAAACAACTAAAAAAGGGTCAAAGCCAGCACTCGGGAAAGCATGCATTAATATCACTTGAAAAGCTCCAAAGCATACATTTTGAAGAATCGCACATACTGAAAGTTGGCAACTTGTCGGCCCCAAATTTAACCGATGCCATCTACATGAATTTGGTTTATCTACCAAATTTGCATAGTCCATGTAATTCTTGGTGTATTATTTAAAGCAGATGCTTTTTTTTTCTCTAAGAAAATAAAAAAATTAAAATGGAAATAGTCAATGCTAGCAATTCAACAGTCACATTTACAGGAGCAACCCTGTAAGATGCAAGCAACGTGTGAACAACGCAGCGAGGAAAAGCTCAAAGGAGATGGGAATATCTGTTTCAGGCTATACATTTCGTTACTGTTTTTCTGTAAACCTTAATATATATGTTGATGTTGGCTGGGCGCGGTGGCTCAAGCCTGTAATCCCAGCACTTTGGGAGGCCGAGACGGGCGGATCACGAGGTCAGGAGATCGAGACCACCCTGGCTAACACGGTGAAACCCCGTCTCTACTAAAAATACAAAAAATTAGCCGGGCGAGGTGGCGGGCGCCTGTAGTCCCAGCTACTTGGGAGGCTGAGGCAGGAGAATGGCGTGAACCCGGGAGGCGGAGCTTGCAGTGAGCTGAGATCTGGCCACTGTACTCCAGCCTGGGCGGCAGAGCGAGACTCCGTCTCAAAATAAGTAAATAAATAAATAAAAATAGATATTGATGTTGTCCTTTCCTATAAAACAAACCTACCCTAGAATAAATAGCAAAAATTAAGGCTACGAAATATACCTGAAACTTAGTAACACCGTAATGGGCTGAAATAATAAAGGATGACAAAAAAAAAAAAAAAAAAATTTTTTTAAAAAAAAAGTTTATCATTCAGTCAGCTAGAGTTGAATACATTTGATTATAAAGTGACAAGAAACCTAAGCCTCTGGTCCTTTCAAGGTACAAATATGCATAAGATTAGGGTAAGACTTTCATTTGATGGTACGGTATTTCTAGTTATAGATGACTAACTAAAGCAACATTTCCATAGTCTTTTATATGAAAAGTTATTATTTTTTTGAGACAGAGTCTTGATCTATCACCTAAGCTGGAGTGCAGTGGTGCAATCACAGCTCTCTGCCACATCGAGTTCCCAGGCGCAAGTGATCTTCTCCCCTCAGCCTCCCAAGTAGCTGGGTCCACAGGCATGTGCCACCACATCCAGCTAATTTATTTTTATTTTTTGCAGAAATGGGGTCTCGCTATGGTTGGCCAGGGTTGTCTCAAACTCCTAGGCTTGTGATCCTCCTGCTTCAGCCTCCCAAAGAGCTGGGATTACATGTGTGAGCCATCCTACCCAGTGAAAAGTTCCTGATTAACAAATACAAAATTCCTCTGGAATCCACTCCCTGCAGTCTAAGCAAACTAAGACTTATTTTATCATGGTTAATTTAATTTGGTCAGATAAGATATTTAAGTGATATAATAATTTAAATGTCAATAACATTTAAAACGTTATAATTTAGAATAATTTTATAATACAAACAAAAAAATAAACTTCCCATCCTATAGCTAATTTTCTGATTGGAAAATTTCTACATATATAAATACAAAAATTGATCTACTATTGCTGTAAGTTAGGGGACATTGTGGGAAGTGATACATGATACAATTCAAACATTTTATTACCTGCAAAGTAACTTTAGATGATGTTCCCTTGAAGTTACTGTAAGCATACACCACTTGATGGACATATGAATATTCAGCATTAATGGCCACCAGCTCTCCACCCTATTGCAAAGCCACTGGTAGCAAAGATACAAGCTGAATGGAAGAGACCAACAGCAGCTGCCATAATCCTTCAGAATACAGCATGCTTTCTAAATTTTCTTCTCTCTTTGCTTTAGTTTTCTTACCTTGGATCCTGGTTGGAATTACATGCATTTCAGTAACTCAAAGATTAGTATCTACTTATTTTTAGAATTTTTGTTACTCATTAATATTAATTTTTTAACTTTTTACTTTGGAGATTTTTAAGCTTTTCAAAAAGGGGTTTATTGTAGATAGGTCTGTGGATGGGCTCTACCACAGACTAACCTCACTAAATATAAAACATTTCACTGAATTGAACTGGTTATAGGGTAAGGAGCTAAAAAATTCAGAAATTCTGGGAGCCCTTTCCTGTTTAATAGAATAGAGAGCTATTTCTTATGATGGAAAAATCTTTCATTAAACATAGACAAATCTTCAATACTGTGTTTCAAAAATAAAAATTGAAATCTTTCCTATTCCTCCATCTTCTTCCTCAGAAGAAACAAATGGAAATGGGAAAGAAGAGGAAGATAAACAGAGGAAGAGGAAGAGGAGAAGTTTGGCAGGAAAGAAATAGGCCAAAGGAAAAGGTTCACAAGATGGCACCATCTCAGCAGTGTTACTTATTAAAGCCAGGCAAAAGGAAATCCATACATGGTTAGTAAAAGTTAACACCTGACTCAGCTGTTCATACCCTCAGAGTCATAAAGCTTGGTGTACCAGGGACAGAGCGTAGAGACGGGGAATATTCAGGGTTTATGGAATCAGGAGAGAGAAATTTTTCAGCAGAATTAACAGTCATGTGATAGATGTGTTCAAAGTTGATCGGAGAGGAGATCAGACCGGAGTGATGATGAGGGGATGGATAAGGGAAACCTGGCTATCAAAAATAAAAGAAAGATGAAAAAAGGCAATAAGGTGATGGAAATGGATTCACATTTCACACAACATGCACATAGAACAAATGGAATAGTATCTTATATCAGAGCTGAATCCTTAATGAAATACTTTTAGGTCTTAGAAAGTTAAATTTTATAATACTCTTGCCAGTTACTTAAATAGCTGATTTGCAAAAAGATCATTCTTTTCTATAAAATTATTCTTTAATTAAAAGAGTTAAGTAAGGAGAATTTGGACTTTCGGAGATACTAGACTTTCAGAGTTTACTTCAGTATTTTCTTATGTAATAACACAATCAAAATATGGCAAAAATCTACCAAACATTAAGGATAGAAAAAGCAAGAAAGAAGCAAGAAAATGAACAAGTGAACCTACAACAGCTTCTAAACAGATGTGTTATGAAACTGCTTCTTTAGAAATATAAAACCATGTAAAACCATTCCCTGATAATGTGTTTGTTTTTACTGATTTTATTTCCTTATAACAGTTAGCCATGGAATATACTAATTATTGGTTTACCTTTAAGCAGCCCAAGCTTATTTCCATTTAGACACGCAAAAAGAACATGTTTATTTTCTTAAGTTAAAAATCTTCCCTTCAATGTTCAGGTATATTTTTAAAAAATGAAATAATATAATATCAAAGACATAGAAAAAAGCTTTTGAATCCAAGGACTAATTTTAGAGAAAAAAGAACTACTTCTGAATATTCAGGAACCAACACTCAGTAGCCAGTCACCTTCTCTAATGGGAATTTTCAGGATTCAGTTCTTGAAGAACAGTTATGTTTCCAGAAAACACGATCCCTTCATTAGAGGCAGAGGGTGAATGGCATGTTGGAGAGAATGCTAACTGAATCCAGGATGGCATTCGTGTTCCCACGAGCTGAGATGAACCTGCTTTGTAAAGAGATCACATAAATTACCTAGGCTTAAAAGAAAGGCTCCTATGTAAGATCATGTTTTTATTCCAGAGATATGAATAAAATCAGTACTTTCTGAGGTTGTACTGATGTACCTGAAACTTTGACTCTTTAAGCTCCAGGATGCCACTACGCTCGAAAATATATTTTTATTAACAATTTTAGTAATGCATTAAAAGCTAGGAGAAATGTAATGTGCTAAAAATAAATCTTCTAGAGGTAAAGTATTATCCTTGCATCCAAATTAGAGAAAAATTTGTTCTTTACTACAAATAGCAACCATGTATTAAAAATGGTAGATTATTTTAAAAATTCAAGAAAATGAATATAGCATCTATTTATAAGCCACACAAACCATCTTATATTAATTGCTTATATTGTCTTGGCTCACTTAGAACAAATAAAGGTTTGGATCTGATACAGGTACATGACTCTCTTAGCCTCACTGCCCCTTCCATATTCAAAAAGTGAACAATTCTGTTTCAAGATCATCTCACACAAAAGCAACAGAAATAAATTTCTAAAGACATACAATAAACTTTCTAAGCTTATAAGTATTTCACAGGAAAGCAATACTGATTTGAATAAATTAAAACATAAAAATGTCTGAGACACATGCTGTTTGAATAGATGACAACATGTGGCTTTGGTATTTAAAACTCATATATGTTAACATTAGATAAATTTAATTCTTCTTTATTTTATGAGACAGTTTGTAATAATTCTATTTCAATGGAAAGAACATATTAACATCTGAGAATACATTAAAATATCACAAGCTTTTCAACAGATACATACACAAGTACAGGCATGCTTAATTATTTTCAGACATGCATATTATTATATTTACTAGTGTCTACTCTGAGATGAAGATGGTTCTGGGCACACAGTAAGAGCTCAATAAATATTTGTTAGATGTTTCAATGGATGCCTATAAAAAAGCCTCAGGTTATATGTCCTTTGGCAGTAAAACAGAAAAAAGTCATGTGAAAATAAAATCTGCTTGTGAAGAACAGGAATTTAGACAGATAAAATCTTTGATGCATACTATATGTACAGGTGAAGAAACAGGTTTCAAAAATTTACACCAACTTCTTGTCCTGGAAATACAAAAGCACTTACATGATAAGAAAATGTTAAAGCAATGAAAGGCACATTAAAAACGGAATTGCAATGAGAGGGCAAAAAGTCACTTGTGTTAATGCCAAAAATAACCATTATCATGTGTTAACAAAATTAGGTGACAACAAATACTAAAAATCAAGCAGTCTAATGATTCTGTGGAAAATGCTATCTTATCAATAAAGACTAGACCTTATTTTGAATAAAAAGATACAGATTTTTTCTTTTTATCTCTCTTTTTTTTTCTTAAAGTGATGGAAGGAAGAGGGAAGAAAATGTAGAGTAAGGAGGGATCTCTGATATAAAAGTTCTTACAGTGTTTCAAATCTGACATTTTGGCATCAAGGTGCAGTCTTATTGGATACGAAGGTCTGAAAGAACTCTGGAACATTAGCAAACGGATTTTTCACCTGATAGCAGAAGGACACCAAGCAGAGTAACATTCTGTTAAACACTGTAATATGTGGGCTAGAATAGAATGTCTACAAACATTTTCTATAATACTTCTAGCTACATTGTCGGAATGTAGGAGATCAAAACATTCTTTTCTGTGTAGTAAAATGAAACAAAAGTGTAAGAAATTTCAATTTTAAAAGAATATCTATTAAAACCTTGTAACTACTGAAATAATTTTATATTTGCTGATGTTTTGTTTTGCAACTTATATATTTGAAATTTGTATCCTGCTATCCCTACATAATGCTAACTACATATTATGTATTGAAAAAACTACTAACTCAATTTAAAAAGTTTAATTAAAATACTACACGGCACTTGACTTATCAAATATAAGTCGTAAATATATTCACATTTCAGTTATCTATCACAACTTAAAAAAATTCTTTAAGGTATTTTGTTCCTGACATTCCACCTTCCATAAGGAAAAACAACAGGCTTTGGACTCTATAGTTATGGTATGTTTACTTCTGAGGACCAGACTCAGGACTTTAAGCAAATGTTCCTAATGGGAAAAGAATGGAGAGAAATCTGAGATCTCACTACCAGGAAAAGGTTAAAAAAAAAAAAAAAGTATAGCTTTTAAACATGATAGAAAAGTATAACAGTTTTAATATTTCATGTGCTCGACCTGAAAATTTTTAAAAGTACTATATCAAGATAAGCTGTAATCTAGTTTTGCACTTTTTAAATATTTACTCAGCAGAGCTAACCCTATTCCAAAAACCTAAGTGATTAATGAGGCTGGTTTGAACTCCATAAAGAAAAGTACATTACTATGAATATGTGATAATATTTTGATATTATTGGTAATGGTAGTAAGAATGTCACATTCATTCATAAGCAAGCAGAGCCAACTGATGAACTGAGATATTTACAATGAAGAACTCAGACTTGAATGCAGATTTTTTTCTCTTCCTATGAAATAAATGCAAACCTCCCTTTAGAAGGTGTTTTTTTAAATTTAAAGAAACTTGACTGCACACCGAACTATATTATCAATCAATTTCTGTCAGTAATAGATGTTTATATTTTCTATCACTGTAGTGTTGATAATGTGGTTTAATTAAGACAGATTTCCTTAGAGAGCAATTGGGGTCAAGATTCACAAATCATCTCCCAAATTGCCATGAAATATGAATTATATTTAAAATTCTGTGCAAAATTTAGCAGCTATCACTACCAATCAAAAGGGTCATTTTTACAGTTTTAATAGTATGCTGAGAGAACTATGGTACTGAAATGTACAGAGCCTGGCTAATTCCACTGATATTCTTAATTTAAATATGACAAGTCTCAGAGCCTAATCTTCATATTGTTAAAACAGAATAGTTCTCCAATGTTGTACTTTTTTCTCTTTTTTTGAGATACAGTCTTGCTCAGTTGCCCAATGCAAAGGCAATCATAGCTCCCCACAGCCTCAAACTCCTGGGCTCAGGTAATCCTCCCACCTCAGCCTCCCGAGTAACTAGGACTACAGGCACACATTACAAAGCCCAGTTATGTTTTTATAGAAATAGGGTCTTGGTCGGGCTTGGTGGCTCACGCCTGTAATCCCAGAACTTTGGGAGGCTGAGGTGGGCGGATCACAAGGTCAGGAGTTCGAGACCAGCCTGACCAACATGGTGAAACCCCATCTCTATTAAAAATACAAAATTAGACGGGCATGGTGCTGGGCGCCTGTAATCCCAGCTACTCAGGAGGTTGAAGCAGGAGAATTGCTTGAACCTGGGCGACAGAGGTTGCGGTGAGCTGAGATCACACCATTGCACTCCAGTCTGGGTGGCAGAGCGAGACTCCATCTCAAAAAAAAGAAAAAAAAAGAAATGGGGTCTTGCTTATGTCGCCTGGGCTGGTCTTTACCTCCTGGCCTCAAGCAATCCTCACGTCTTGGCCTCCCAAAGTGCTGGGATTACGGGCATGAGCCACCACACCCGGCCTATGTTATACTTTTTCATGTACAACTGACCAGGTAATGTTTGTAACTGGGCAAAGGAAAAAGATTTAATTTCACAATTATCGGACAGATGTGACCATTAATGAACAAGCTAATGTGGTTCTCTGGGAAGAAAAAAAAAAAAAAAGAGTAGGCCAAATATCTGTATTGATTTGCTAATATGTAGTGAAATTTTTAGTGATTTGGTAACCACATTCCAAATTTGGTATAGAACCTCTCCAAATCTGGTAGTTTCTTTCACCAACAATAGTAAACACAGGCATGGGAGAAATTCTCCAATATGGAACTAAATAAGAACTTGATTTGTTTGGCTTCTGACAGATGTCAGAATTTTATGTTTTGTTCATCAGGTATGTCATCATGTATCTTAGACATATTGTGGTATACTGAGAGAAACATTTCCTCATTACATTCACATATCCTTTGAAGTTTACGCATAAGCCTATTTATATTCCCCCGACATCTGCACTTTTTTACATTCACTCTTAATTCCTCTTACCATGGGCAGATCTTTCAGGATCTGTATTCCATCTCCAGGACCCATGTGTGCTATGTGGTTAAAATTAGTTGGATTAGAAATTAATTTATTTCTCATTTCTGGATCTCGTAGCATTTCCCTGTGAAACAAAGCATCTGTTTAGACACTGTTTCCATAGTTAATTTATGTAGCTTATGAAAAAAATTAAGCACACTTAATTTTCTTAATAAAAATACAACTGTTAAATCACATTAATAAGAATATAATTAGAGTAACAGAATATACTCAATTAAAAAATTACTTCCTTAGAATGTTTTGTTTTAAATTTTAAATACAAGATCTTATTCTTTTAGGTGGAAAAGTAGAGAGGGTCTTTTCAAATACTTAAGACATCAAAGAAGCTCTACGCTATTTTACATATAATTCTGAACATTTTATGTAACTCTTTAAAAATGGTAACACTTCAATCCTACTTCTGTTTGCTCATGAAAAGTCTGAACTTCTTAGACATATACAGGTTTACTGTATGCACAGCTATGTCCTATGCTTATATTGTAGAAAGGTACACAATCCAAAAGTATGACTGTTCCATATTCATAGAGAAGTGAATAAGGTGAATAAAAATATGGTACTTTAATCCGGTGCATACTCACAATTTTGAGAATATTAATTAAAATGAGACAGAGAAGTTACATTCATTATTGCAGTTTTTGACACCACAGATGAATGAGATTTTCAGATACCCAATTTTCCTTCCAAATCAAATATAGTATCATTACCAAGTAGTCCTTCAGATGTACAAGCAGGCATGGATGATAGTACAGGTTAAATATCTACCTCCTCTGCTGCATCCTTTCCTCTTCTGGGACTCTGAAGGAATAACGCCGCTTATTGTTAATATTTCTAACCATTTGTTTCCGACTATTATCTGATGTTTCAGGAACTACCAGTTCGTCCCCTTCTGTTAAAACGAAAAAATACAAACGATAATGATGTTCTTTAAACTGTTAAAATGCTTTTTATCTATTAACCTCCAAGACAGTACAAACAATGATAGTACAAGTATATGCAATTCTGGTTTTTAAATGTTGTGTTGATAACCACAGTAAATAATATTTAACAGAACCTATGTAAACATAATATGCTGAAAGTAAACACAGCTTACAAAATATACTTTCATTTTTACTTGATTATAAACATAGTATGGCATAATTTTACTAGAAGAAAACTGTACTTGCCTTGGTGTTCTGTCACTCTAATCAGCCACCCCACCCCACCCCAGTATCTCAATACTGTGTTTTCTCTCCCTCCAGGTATTGATTTCAATGGCTTAGGGTGTTGTTAAAGAGCTACTATTGTTACCCTGAGCAGTAATCAGGCATAAATGGTAAATAACAATAACAACTATCTTTACATAATAAAAAAAATTTCCTTTGCAAGGTTCAATCTATGAGACATGGAGTTAAAAAAAAGGAGCTGTGCTCCCACTACCCTTCCTTTACAAAACGTAAGAATCTGACACTATTTCTCCTCTTCTAATCTTGGGAGTAGATGTTTAATCATATACACCTAGCAACCCAGTGACAGTCTTATCCGATGTCAGTTTTAATATCTAGAAGTAAACAAAACTGTCCGCCAGGGACTCCCAAAACATGCTGAGCTATGTGAAAAGAAGAAAAAAATAGACAACTGTATCCATATAACACAACAAAGGGTGTCATTATCTAAATAAGATAAGGAAAAAGAGGAAAGTTTAGAAGTTTTCAACACCCAAAAAGCTGAAGTGAGAAGGAGGAGGTGGGAAGAAGCGAAATGAGCCTATAAGAAAATAAAGGTGATAATTAGCAAAAGTGCAACATGATACTCGTGGCATAATAATATGGCTTAGGCAGACTGCTTTCCTAATAATACATATTTTAAAAATAGAATTATTATTATTTATTTTTTTGAGGCAGGGTCTTGCTCTGTTGCCCAGGCTCGAGTGTAGTGGCACCATTACAGCTCACTGCAGCCTCAACCTCCTGGGCTCTCGTGATCCTGCTGTCTTGGCCTCCCAAAGAACTGGGATTACAGGCACATGCACTACCATGCCCAGTCAAAGAATAGAGTTTTTGAAGTGAATGATACTGTGGGACACAAATTTGGAATTTGAGAATTATGAGGGTAAAGCAGGTCTTGGAGACTTAGGGTGGCAATGGGAGATTTTAGACAGGCAGAGGGCTGCAGGAACACTGACTCTTAAGAAATGACAGAGAAAGCAAAACACAGAAAAAGAAAGAACCTCTTGAGATGCGATTTCCTTCCTTTGTCAAAGAAAAAGACAACTACATTAAAATTTTGTCATGTCCCTCTTCTCCAAGATCTACCTCTACTCTTAGCCTACAGTAGAAAGATGAAAAAGCATGGGAAGAGACAAGTCAGAGTAAGTTTTGTCTTACAGACACATAGCGGGTATGAACACATTTATGACCAGCATAGTCACACACAGTGAGAACAGGGTGGAGCCAATCTTATATAAATATGTGGAGTTCCTCTAAGAAACAGAATACAGGCATACCTTGGAGAAAGTGCAGGTTCAGTTTGAGACCACATAATAAAACAAGTATCAAAATAAACCAAGTCACACAATTTTTTTGGTCTTCCAGTGCATATACATTATGTTTACATTATACTGTAGTCTGTTAAGTGGGCAACGGTACATGTCTAAAAAAAAAACATACATATCATAATTTAAAAATGCTTTATTGCCAAAAAATGCTAACAATCATCTTCACCTCCATGAGTCGTATTCTTGTTGATAGTAGGAGGGATGTGGATAAGCTGCTGACTGAGCAGGCTGGTGGTTGCTGAAGGTTGGAATGGCTGCAGCAGTTTCTTAAAGTGAGACAACAATAAAGTTTGCCACACTAACTCCTCCTTTCACAAAACACAGTTCTCCGTAGCATAATGATGCTGTTTGACAACATTTTACCCACAGTAGAATTCCTTTCCAAACTGGAGTCAATCCTCTCAAACCCTGCCTCTGCCCTATCACCTTAGTGTATGTAGTATTCTAAATATTTTCTTGCTTTTTCAACAATGTTCTTAACATCTTCACCAGGAGTAGATTCCATTTCAAGAAATCTTTTTTTTTTTTTTGCTTACCCATGAGATACAACACCTTATCCAATCAAATTTATCATGCGATTGCAGCAATTCAGTCTCCACTTCTAATTCTAGTAGTTCTTTTGCTCTTTTCACCACATCTGTAGTTATTTCCTTCACTGATGTCTTGAACCTCTAAAAGTCATCCATGAGTGCTGGAACCTGCTTCTTCCAAACTCCTGTGAATGTCGGTATTTTGTCCTCTTCCCATGAATCACACATGTTCTTAATGGCATTTAGAATGATGAATCCTTTCCAGAAGGTTTTCAATCTATTTTGCCCAGATTCATCAGAGGAATAACTATCTATGGCAGCTATAGCCTTATGAAATACGTTTCTTAAATGATCAGACTTGAAAGTCAAAATTACTCCTTTGTCCATGGGCTACAGAATGGATACTGTGTTAGCAGACGTGAAATTAATCTCCTTGTACGTCTCCATCAGAAATTTTGGGTGACTTAGGTGCACTGTCAATGAACAGTAATATTTTGAAAGAAGTCTTTCTTTTCTGAGCAGTAGATCTCAACAGTGGGCTTAAAATTTTCAATGACATCCTGTAAACAGATATGTTGCCATCCAGACTTTGTTGTTCTGCTTATAAAATATAGGTAGAGTAGAGTTACCATATTTCTTTCTTTTTTTTTTTGAGATGGAGTTTCGTCCTTGTTGCTGAGGTTGGAGTGCAATGGCGCAATCTCGGCTCACTGCAACCTCCACCTCCCAGGTTGAAGCAATTCTCTTCCCTCAGCCTCCTGAGTAGCTGGGATTACAGGCATGCGCCACCACGCCTGGCTAATTTTGTATTTTTAGTAGAGACAGAGTTTCTCCATGTTGGTCAGGCTGGTCTCAAACTCCTGACCTCAGGCGATCTGCCTGCCTCAGCCTCCCAAAGTGCTGGGATTATAGGTGTGAGCCACTGTGCCCAGCTGAGTTACTGTAATTCTTAAGGGCCTAGGATTTTTTTGAATGGTAAATGAGCACTGGCTTCAACGTAAAGCCACAAGCTACAATAATCCCTAACAAGAGTCAGCCTGTCCTTTGAAGCTCTGAAGCCAGACAGTGACTTCTCTCTAGCTATGAAAGTCCTAGATGGCATCTTCTTCCTTATAGAAGTCTGTTTTAGCTAAACTGAATTTTGTATTGTTCAGTGTAGCCACCTTCATCAATTATCTCAGCTATGTCTTCTGGATAAACTGCTGCAGCTTGTACATCAATACTTGCTGTTTCACCTTGCATTTTTATGTTATGAAGATGGCTTCTTTCCTTAAATCTCAGGACCCAAACTCTGCTAGCTTCTTTTCTACTGCAGTTTCCTGACAGCTCTCAGCTTTTATAGAATTGAAGAGAAAGCTTTGCTCTGGATTAGGCTTTGGCTTAAGGGAATATTGCAGCTGACAGTCTATCCAAATCACTAAAACTTTCTCTGTAACAGCAATAAGGTTGTTTCGCTTTCTTTTCATTCATGTGTTCTCTGTAGCAGCACTTTTAATTTTTTTCAAGAACTTTTCCTTTGCACTCATGACTTGGCTAACTGTTAAGAGGCCTAGCTTGCAGTCTATCTTGACTTTCAATATGCCTTCCTCATTAAGTTTAATCATTTCTAGCTTTTGATTTAAAGTAAGAGATATGCGACTCTTCAGTTGAACACTTAGAGTCTATTGTAGGGCTATTAATTGGCCTAATTTCACTATTGTTGGTTCTCAGAGAATAGAGAGGCCCAATGAAAGGGAGGGAGACCAGGGAAGAGCTGCTTGGTTGAACAGTCAGAACACACACATTTATCAATTAAGTTTGGCATCTTATATGGGCATGGTTTGTGGCACCCCAAAACAATTACAATAACTTCAAATTTGGATCACTGATCACAAATCACCATAACAGACAGAATAACAGTGAAAAAGTTTGAAATATTGCAAGAATTACCAAAATGTGAAACGGAGACATGAAGTCAACACATGCTATTGGAAAAATGGCGCTGAGACTTACTGGAGGCAGGGTTACCATAAACCTGCGATTTATAAAAAATGTACTACCTGTGGAGCACGATAAAGTGCCACACAATAAAATGGGGGTATGCCTGTATAAAACTAAGTATGGGTCTTGGAAGTGAAGTATCTAAAGTTTACATTTCATTAACTTCACGAGGTATCCATATCTGAATGAGAATCACCTTTAAAACCTGAATATCCTTTCTTAAGTCATAATGGAATATACTCTTAGCATAGACTCCTGCTATGTTCACCAAGAAACCTCTGGTTCCAAGACAACATACCAATGCACTGAACCAGAAATCAAGTAATTTTGTGTATTCTAGTACTTATAACATAAAAACACACCAACAAAATAAAACAAAACCAACAAAAATAATCACAGAAAACTTCTGATGGATTTTTTTTTTGGTAGTAGAAAAGACACATTTATTGGAGGAATATTGGGTAGGTGGGAAAAAACCATTAAGATAATAATTTCATGGCCAGGCACTTTGGCTCACACCTGTAATCAAAGCACTTTCAGAAGCCAACGTGGGTGGAACACGAGGTCAGGAGATGGAGATCATCCTGGCCAACATGGTGAAACCATCTCTACTAAAAATACAAAAAAATTAGCTGGGCATGGGGATGCGTGCCTGTAATCCCAGCTACTTAGGAGGCTGAGGCAGGAGAATCGCTTGAACCCAGGAGGCAGAGGTTGCAGTAAGCCGACATGGCGCCACTGTACTCCGGTCTGGCAACAGAGTGAGACTCCGTCTCAAAAAAAAAAAAAAAAAAAAAAAATTCACTACCCCAAAATAATGCGTCTAAACGTTTTAATGTGTTTTCTTGAAGCCAATATTTTTACTTATATTTGTCCACTTAAATTATTTTAAATACTGGCCGGGCGTGATGGCTCAGGCTTATAATCCCAGTACTTTGGGAGGCTGAGGCGGGCAGATCATTTGAGGTCAGGAGTTCAAGACCAGCCTGGCCAACATGGTGAAATTGTCTCTACTTAAAACACAAAAGATTAGCTGGGTGTGGTGGTGCACACTCATAATCCTAGCTACTCAGGAAGCTGAGGTGGGAGGATCACTTGAACCCGGGAGGAGGAGGATGCAGTGAGCCAAGATTGTGCCACTGCACTATAGCCTGGGCAACAGAGTGAGACTCCGTCTCAAAAAAAAAAATTATTTTATATACATAATGTACCATAAATACATCCTCGCTAACAGACCTGCCATAACAGATCGGAAATTTACAAATACTTCTATTATACAGAAATTTGCTGCTATGACACAAAAATGACTTTATTATGTAGAAGAGGGTACTATAATAATATTTGTTAAAACTGAGACTTTAACTGTTTGGACACCCTGACAGGCAAACAACATTTAATTCTATGTGAGCAGTCTCCCTGGCATTTTATGTGTGGTATGTAATAACATGTGTGACAGTCTCACCTCAATATTTTGGTCACTGACCAAATATCCTCCCCTCCTGTCTGTAACACTCTGGGTCTCCATTCCCTCTCCTGGTTCCAGGCACTCCCGTGACTCTCCTCTCTTTCCTGCTTCTTCCTATGCTGACATCACCACTTCCGAAGTGCTAGGCCCTGTACACTGGCAGGCGATATGTTCCTGAAGACATATTCCTCAACTCTAGATGAGTGTTTATAATTTTAATGTTACAAGTTTTGGTTAGGTTCTACAATATTGAAAATACAGAAGATATAATCAGCTACATTTTCTCTACTTACCCAGGTACTCCACAGAAAAATAACAAGGTACATTAGAATCAAATACTTACACGAGCTTGAACAGAATGACTTTTTGCTCAGTAATTTATTCTAATATATTAAGAATGTGACTGGCCAACATCATAGACTTGGAGTAAGATACACCTGTGTTGAAATCTGGACTCTGGCACTTACTATTAATGTGACCTTGGGCAGGTAGCTTAGAAATAATATTTCCAATGAAGCTATCCCTATGAATATATATATTTTCTTACCTGCCATCTTATTTTTGAAATATATTAATCTAATGGTCTCCAGCCCTAAAAGATTTAATGATCCTTCATTGTTTAAGGGTCGAACCTAAAATAAAAAACAAAATTAGTATTTTGACAAAACCTTTAAAAACTAAATTATAAAACGTACGTCCTGCTTATAAAGTACACCTTATTAAGACTTCTTGCTTATCTACTTCAAAATACAACCCTCTCAGAAAAATCAACAATAATTCTGACTGGAAAGGTATAATACTATCTAATTTGAACAAACAAACTTACAATGATAACATTTTAAAGGAAGGCTATCCTAGGCAAATGAACAAATAAGTAGAAGTACATTTAAACCTTAGACATTTTAAAGCCATTAATGACCAGTTATACTAAGAAGATATCAACATGGCTGATTTATGAATTCTTACTATCAAAAACTAAATGCATAGATATGATGGAGATGGAAGGGTAGATCACTGGGGAACGGAGGGACTGTCAATAAATAGTGATTGAGCAACTGGTGATATGGAACCAATAAAATAAAATCTCTACTTCACACCTTACACAAAAGCATCAATTCCAATTGGATTAAAAACAGAAATGTAATAGGCGGAACTTTACAATGTTTGGAGGTTGGGTATATAAATTTAAAAAAGATTAAAAAAAAGGTAAAATGTTTGGAGGAAAATAGAATGTATATTATGACTTTAAGGTAGGAAAGAGTTTTTAAACAGGAGAAAAAAGACAAACATAAAGGAAAAGAAAGATACATTTAACTACATTAAAATCAGTAACTTCTGTTCAGCCAAATACAAATGAATGAATAGGTCACAAAGAAGAAAAAGATTTACATATCCCTTATTAGCCAGTATCCACAATGTATAAAGAATTCCAATAAATAGGAAAAATGTGGCCAATCCAATAGCAAAATGAGCAAAAAGCATGACCAGGCATTTCATGGAAGAGGAAATATGAATGATGAATAAACATACAAAAGACTTTCAACTACATAGTTAGGGACATGCAAATTGAAACTTCAATGAAATACTACTTTGTAACCATTTACAAAACCTATGAATCCTGACAATGGAAAGTACTAGTATGTGGATAAGAATTCCTTTACGCTGTTGATGGGAGTACTGGTTAGTACAATTACTTTGGAAAATAATATCACACTATCTCATAAAGCTGAATAACTGAACTCCCTATGTCCCATTGATTCTGCTCCTAGGTATATGACTGAAACTCCTGAAAACTATTCCAAAAAACATATGCAGCAACATCACAATTGCAAAAAGCTAGTAAATAATTCAATGTCTACCCATCAGGGAACAGATAAGTTCATGTAACAGAATATTTTATAGTACTGAAAAGCAATAAACTACGGTATATGTAACAACATGAATGAATGAGACTTGGTGGATGAGTGAAGAAAGCAAGATAGAAAATGACTATATATTATAACATTTTTATAAAACTCAAAACCAAGCAAAACTGAAAGATATATTATTTAGGGATACTTAAATATGCAAAAATTCTGTATTTTAAGAAAAGCAAAGGAATGATAAGCACATGATGCCATTTGCAGTTATATGAGTGATGTTCTGATTCTCAGGTTAGGAGGTAGGTTCATGAGTGATCAGTTTATTATTATCCCTCACAAAGGCCATCTATTTATTCTTTCACATATATTGCAAAAATTACATGATAAAAATCAAATAGGGCTGGGTGCAGTGGCTCCCGCCTGTAATCCCAGCACTTTGGGAGTCAGAGGCAGGTGGATCACTTGAGGTCAGAGGTTCAAGGCCAGCCTGGCCAACACGGTGAAACCCTGTCTCTACTAAAAACATAAAAATCAGCAGGGCATGGTGGTGTACACCCGTAGTCCCAGCTACTCGGGAGGCAGAGGTAGGAGAATCACTTGAACCCAGGAGGCGGAGGCTGCAGTGAGCCAAAATCATGTCACTGCACTCCAGGTTGGATGACACAGCGAGACCCTGTCTCAAAAACAAAAACAAAAACAAAACAAAACAAAAAAAACCAAAAAAACCCCACAGAAAAGTAATAATGACCAGTCCAAATTTACAAACTAGAGTATATTTTAGTTGCTTCAGATAATCTGGCAGTATTTACAAGAGCTTTTTAAACTGCCATTATGATTTTAAATGGGAGCTAATTTTGAAATATCATCTCAGTGACTTTCACATATTCTCTAAACCCTGTCCCCCAACTAATTATACATGCTATATATATATCACATCTATCTACATGAAACTATTGCTCTTCATTTTTGCAAACTAGCAGTTCTATACTTGTAAAAATTCTCTGTGTTATGGAAACATAGGATTATAAATTAAGAAAAATACTACGTTTTATTAGGAATATATGAAATCTTTATTTTTCAATTATGAGACACTTAAACAGTTTTGGTTCTAAGTTTAACCACTTTTCTAGCCTGTTAAATCTGTCCTCACAAGATTAAACACTGGGTGAATAACAGTTATAATTCATAATAATCGTGTAGTCTCTCAGAGCTCCTTAATCCAAAAGTGGAAGATAACACTGACATTTTATTTTAGGTTGTAGGATATATTCTAGTAGTTCATAATAATAGCAATCATACTTTGCATAAACCAAATATAGTAAAATTAGTATGGTTTTAGCTAGGCCTAAGGAAATTAACCAACTTTATTTCTGTTTCTATTTTCTCACTCATAGCTAAGTCCCAAACTGCCAATTACACATGCCACAAAATGTTGAGTTAATAAAAAAAAATTACTATGTAGTAATTTAGTGTTTTCACTTATACTCAGTTGGCTTAGCCAACATTTTAATGTTAAATTACCTTTTTGAGAGGAAGAGTCTGAATCCATTCCATGGAGTTCACATCAAAGATATCAACTGCATTTTCACTGTACACCGAGAGATATGGTGCATTGTAACCTGGGAGAAGAGAAGGTGGGGGCAGCTTGTGGATTATTTTTAACTATTAAACCCCAAATATTTTGAAAGGTCTACACTAAATAACTGTAGAGTGGAATCCCACCCAAATCCTATGTGGCTATCATATAGTAGCCAAATCAAAATATTTTTGAAGCAAATAGAACATATATCGTAAATGAAGAACCGGCACACCAATGTCAGATTATATAGCCATTATAATATAGACAGATTTTGTAAGCACCAGGGGTATACTATTTCCCTGCCCAACATGAGTTCTATAAAGGAATTTCATTATATTTAAAGTATTTGATTCCTAAAAGTAGTTAAGTTATTGACAGTGAATCAAACTTAGAAAGTAGAGAAATCTCCAGGTAAGTGTTCTAGTCCCTGTTAAGAAAGTATAATAAAGCACTGTAGCATAGTTACATGAATATGGTAGATGCTCAATATATACTTGTTGAAAGAATGAATATCAACAAATGAATATCAACACAAGCAAAGAAAGAGTCAATGGTTTACTTAAACTAAGGTTACAAAGGGAATTATTGGCAGAGCTATACAAAAAAGTCAGACATTCCAACTCTGACTCTACATTAGAATAATCATAATTATTACCTGACTCAGTTACAAAACAGCATTTATTCTATTGATAAGAAAGAGAGTGTGAGAGTGTGTGTGGGTTTGTGTTTTTAGAGATAAGGTCTCATTGTGTTGCCTAGGCTGGAGAAAAGTGGCATGATTATAGCTCAAGTGATCCTCCTACCTCGGCCTCCTGGGTAGTTGGGACAACAGGCGTGCAACCACTATACCTGGTTAATTAAAGAAAATTTTTTATAGACACAGGTTCTCGCTATGTTGCCCAGGTTGGCTTAGAACTTCTGGCCCCAAGCAATCCTCCTGCCTCAGTCTCCTGAAGTGCTAGGATTACAGGTGTAAGCCACTGTGCCCACCTAAGACTGTATTTTTCAGAAGAAATATTAAAAATAGTTAATTCCCAAGATCTGCAGTTGAAAAGTTGGAAAGACAAAAACAACAATAACAAGAAAAAATAGTTAAACCTTTCATCCCAGGATGGAGGGTGGAAAAAAATAAGTCTAGATGGGTAGAACTAGACGTATTTTTCTTTTGTTCTGTTTATGCAGACTTTCTGATTTTTCTGTAATAAGCATGGATTGTCCTGCCAAACTTTCTTGTAATGAACCTCTAACCTTGACTAGACCCATACCCATAACTCCTCCTCCTATCTTGTTACAAATGAAGAGGTTTTACTCCTCCTTTCCCCAAGTAATTCATGCACCTGTCTTCTGAATTTTGTCCTCTCTGGTCTTCTTGGCAGTCTTACTCTATTTCCCATATAGACAACTGTTCCACATAGTTCCCTAGGGTTTTTTTCCCTTCAGCATTTTAACATGCTCAAGTATTTTTCATTAAAAACAAAACAGTATGGATGAAATACTTCTCCTATGTGGTTCTATAGAACTCTCTACTTCTGCTATCATAGCACTTACATTCTACTGCAACTACTTGCTTTATCACGAATCTTTTCCACTGCACCCATGCTCTGTGGGGGTAAGACTGTTATCTATTTTCCTCATTGCTGTAACTCATATTCAACGGCACATATTCAATAATAATTGGAATACTCAATAACCAAAGTATTCTATAATTAAAAGTATTCAATAAGGCTGGGTGTGATGAGTCAAGCCTATAATCTCAGTGCTTTGGGAGGCCAAGTTGGGAGGACTGCTTGAGGACAAGAATCGAGACCAGCCTGAACAACTAATGAGATCATCTCTACAAAAACAAAAAGTAAAAACAAGCTGGGCGTGGTGGTGTGCACCTGTTGTCCCAGCTACTCAGGAGGCTAAAGTAGGAGGATTGCTTCAGCCCAGGAGTTGGAGGCTGCAGTGGGTTATGATGATATCACTGTACTCTAACCTGTGTGACAGAGCAAGACTCCATCTCTCTCTCTCAAAAAAAAAAAAAAAAAGCATTCAATAATTTATTACATCTTCATATTTCTTGAAGGGGTAAAATAAGCAATTATAAATATCTACCCATCTAGATAAAAATGGAAAACTGAAAAACACCTCTTATAGATGCTATATTATACCTTTACATACCTGATTAAATAATTCACTTGGTAACTACTTCTCCAGAATAAGTTCTGTGAGACACTGATGCTTACAAGCACCATATTTTGGGGGACCATTAGATAACAATTTAGGGTTATTTCAAAATACGACATGGGGTAAAAAATCCATCTTAGTGAAATATTCCACAGAAAGATGTTTTGTTTAAATCATGTGCATCCTAATGCTGGCCCTGTTTGCCCTGGCCTAATTACATATGGTTTTTACATCAACAACATAATCAATACTGAGGAAAAGCATTAAGAATGACTTTTTGAAAAAACTGTTATTAACAATGACAACACTTGGGAGATGAAGTGGAAGGGAAAAGGAAGGAAAGAGACATAAAGGTAAGACAGTCATAAGAAAGAGAATCTTACAACAAGAGGAAGGATTTGCTGGCCACATCAATTCCTGTTGTCTAGATCTTCGGCCCTGGCAGTCAGTATATATCCCAATGCTGTTAAAACACAGCAGATATTCTTTACTGGAGATCTCAACTGCGCAGATAGCATCCATTGGTTGATGTGCAATAAATGATAGTGTATGGTCATTTGAATGGAGCATACTGTATGGACTTCCTTCTCCATTCAAAGGGTATCTTAGAAATCCTGACTGGAATCCCACACAGAGTTGTTCACTGAAGATTGCCATCCACTGGACATTATATGGGACTTGAATTTCCTTAAATTTTCTGTGACGAGTCTTGCTCTGAAATAGTTCATAACAGAGGACCTGCCTTTTCATAGCCACACACAGGCATGTGAGAGCTCCATGGCGCACCTTTCCAGAAGTTATGGTTTGACACCCTTTAGTTTCTGCCAGCTTGTAAAAATCGGTCTCTCGCCCATCCAATGCTGACAGAGGAAAAAGTCGTACATGACGATTTCGTCCTGAGATCACAGCAACAAGCTGATCATTTGGAATAAGTTCAATCTGATGAATCTTCTTATTATCACCAACTCGAATAATTTCTAAACACAAAGAATAATAAATCAAAATTTTATTGATTCATTATATCCCAATTATACTCAAAAGGATGTAAGTCAACTTACAGATGCACACACGGAAGAATAAGAGATCAGAAGTCACAGGAAAAAAGATAATCAAACCCATCATAAGATAATTTAACTCACCTATAGTACGTATTGAGTCCTAAGATTTCTGGCAGCCAAGGCAAACCCCAAAGGATTCTTGTGTAAAAGTATGCCAAATCCTCAAGGAAAACTTTTTTACTGGCACTAAATTCTAGGGAACATCACCATGGGATTCCCGTTTTTAAAAACAGATAACTCACTTTTCAGAAGTTTTTATATGGGTAACAATGCATTGTCTTAAATGCACTGTTTTCCCATGATCTACGTTGATATAAAGAAAAAACTTAGAATATTATATTTATGAATACCAAGTTATATTGGTTTCTCTTTATTTCACCCAGCATTTAGTTTTTCCCTAGAAGAAAAACCTCCAAACAAACACATTTTAATAGCTGTTGTCTCTTTTGATACTACCAGAACAATATGAAAATTAAGTTGTTTATTTTTTTTTCATGTTCCATCTTTAGAAATGCAATCTGGGCTGGGTGCGGTGGCTCATGCCTGTAATCCCAGCAGTTTGGGAGGCCAAGGTGGGTGATTGGATCACCTGAGGTTGGGAGTTTGAGACCAACCTGGCCGACACGGAGAAACCTCGTTTCCACTGAAAATACAAACTTAGCCGGGCATGGTGGTGCATGCCTGTAATCCTAGCTACTGGGAGGCTGAGGCAGGAGAGTCGCTTGAACCTGGGAGGTGGAGGTTGCAGTGAGCCAAGATCACGCCACTGCACTCCAGCCTAGGCAGCAAAAGCGAAACTCCGTATAAAAAAAAAGAAATGCAATCTGAGTTCATACAGAACTGTTAAATAAAATGATATAAGAAAGACAATACACATTTGAAGTTTTAAACCTCAGGGGGACTACAGAAATTTAAAAATAATCTTTTAATTTATAAACATATCAAATTAGGTCTGGAAAATTTTAGTCACAGGATAAGAGCAAATCCTGCTCTTTGTAGAATTTAGAATCTAGAGTTAAAATTTTTTTTAACACATGATTGAAAATTACTCAAAAAACAAAGTTTTCTCTTACCATCTTTGGTGACATGTACAACAAATAACCCTTCTTCGTTTCCCAAAGCAATTCTTTCATGATCTATGTAAGACATGAATATGAAAGATTTTTATTAGGAAAAAACCATGTAATGCTAATAAACCAGATGTTAAGAACATTTGGTGCAAAAAATGGAAATAAAATAAATTACAATAACAGTTTACACTATTTCTTTCAGATTATACTGGTAAATCTCTCATGTCTTCTAAAATAGAACAATTATTAAAGAATAATCCATATCAATACCTACAAAAATAAGTAAATGTTTAATAAATGAAACAAAATGAAAAACCTAAGTTGTTCTACACTTCTTGTTTTGGGAGGTAAAAATTGTGAATGGCATGTGAACCGTACTCATTAAACTTTTCAGTATTCATGGAAAGTAACAAAAGAGTTACATGCATACACAGGAAAACAGCAAAAATTTAAACCTACAGACACAGAAACTGCCATTTGTTAAGAGGACTTCTTTTATGCAGGGCACTCGGTGTTATGTATTCCATCTTATTTAAACTTCCCAATAACCTCAGCAAGGTAATTATCATCTGTATTTTATATACTAAACTCTAAGAAACTAACTTGTTCTAAATCACACAAGCAGAAAATAGATTGGTAGGCTAATGTTTAGCACTGTCGTTTTTTCAGGAAAAAAAGGCACTTTGAAAGTGTACTTATACTCCTGCTTACTGAAAAACAAAGATCTGATATAGGTCTCATTCATTCAATAAACATGTACTGAGCATTTGTGATATGATGCATAGTATGTTGGACACTGGGGATTCCTAGATGAAAGCCAATCCCTGTTCTCAAGTAGATTAGTAAACAATTATAATAATATGATAAATGTTATAAATTCATACCTATGATTGCGGCTGCCTGGGTTGTTTTAATGAGGGGTAGAGTGCTGTCATAAGCCTCTTTGGGAACATAGACTGAGCGGTCTCTGAATTTGTTTTTCTTCAAAATCTTGTGCAATTCACTCAGCACTCCCACCCACTTACTCTTCTCATTCTCACTGTCTGCTAGCATCAGGATTGAACATTTGTTATTAGATGCTGAGAGCTGGGAAGCTGTGACCTAGAACAATTTAATCAATAATCATGACATTAGAAAACAGACACCCTTTATGCTAGTTTCATGATTATGTTAGTTTGCTTAGCACTCACCAATAAAATGAGCATTCATTAAATGATACCGTTACTGGAGTTTAGCTATTCCTAATCAGAATAACTACCTTTAGCACTAGATTACATGACAAAGCAAAGGTGACAGATACCATTTGAAATGTTTGTATCATTTTCATTTTCCTTCTATAAAATTGCCAGAACACTATCACTAAAGAGGCATTAAATACACTCATATATAACAACAACACCTGACATTTATTGAGTAAATACTGAGCACTGGGTAGATCTAAGCACATTACAAGTATTAATTCATTTAACTCTGTTAACATCGTCATGAGATAGGATGTACTGTCATTATATCCTTATATTATATATGAAACAAATGGTGATGCAAAGAAATTAAATCATTTCTCCAAGGATACACAGCTAGAAATCTGGGATCTTGTGCCCATGCTCCTAAGCACCACACCATACTGACTTGCAACTTGTTTTAAGAAGTTAGAAGTGCTCAGAAATATATTTGCTGTTACTTCACAACAATAACTCACATCATCGTTAAGACTTGATAATTTAAATTAGTATTTAAATGAAGGTTTATCATTATACAAACAACACTATCAGAGCAGTTTTAAATTTTACCTATATGAATTCCTTATTATAAGTAAAGAATTCCTTATTAAGTAGCAGTGACAATAAAATCACACTACGAAACTCAGTTATCAGTAAGTGGGCCTCTGTAGGCTCCCTTGGTGGCTGGGAGGAAAATAAATAGTTGTTAGTCTGGGAACTAAGAGACTAAGTATAATCTTTGCCTGACCTTTCTTAGATACAAGGTTCACAGAGAAATATAGGGAGATAGGCATAACTACTAGGCAGTATTTTTTTTTTTTTTTTAATCTCTGTTGTCTTAATTTACCAACTCAAGATTGCATCATGGCAATAGCCGCCAAAGATTGCTACCAACAAGTCCTCCTAAGGAATTCCATTCTACTCGCCAAGAGGTGGAGTCTATCTCCCCTCCTCTTAAATCTGGGCTGACCTCATGACTTGCTTTGACCAATAGAATGCAGAAAGGTTATTATACCTGTTTTGGGCCTAGTCCTCAAAGGGCCTGGTAGCTTCTTTTGCTCTCTTAGAAGCCAGCCACTGGGAGCTCAGCCAGCCTACCTGATGACCACAGACCACATGGAGCGAGTTCACAAAGAGGAGAACTGAGATCACGCAGCTAACAGCCAGCACCCAGATGTAAGAGCAAGGTCATTAGATGTTCTGGCCCCAAATGAGCTGAATGCAGTCACATGAGTGACACTAGCTGACACCACAAGAACTGTACAGCTGGTCCACAGAATAGTGAAAAATAATAAATCATTGTCGGTTTAAGCTACTAAGTTTTGGAATGGCTGTTATGAAGCAGTAAGTATTTTTAATTTTTAAAGACAGACATTTTTACTTTTTAAAAAAACTTGAGAAACCTCACACTTATCTCATTTTCCATCTGGTAGTATTTATTTGAAAACTGAATTGGAACTAAAAAATATTATCTACCAGGAAGCATATTTTATAAGCCATATATTGATGCTTTCTCCAGGTCTTTCACTAATTGAATATTTAGCACCAATTTTCTATACCCTCAAGTACTGGATGACATGGAATATATAAAAGGATGTAAGATTTAGTTTTACTTATAGTGAATTTATGATTTATATAGGGAGGCAAAATATACTCATTAAAAACACATAATTCACTGATCAAATTATAGTATACACACTTACCCTAAATATACAGGGTATATCTTTTCGACTTGCATGGATAACATCAGAAGCCAACACTGAACTCACAGAAAATTCTTCATCCCTGAAAGAAAAGCAAAGCATTAAAAGTTAGTATATGTGGCTATGTGTGTGTGGTTTGGGGTGTGTATCCAAATAACACATATGAAGCAATACCCAAAGCTTAACTGCACCAAACACCCAAATTTAATTTTTTTAAAAATTTAATTTTCCCCCATTGTAATTAATAGTGCCCCAAATAATTTATCAAGAATAACTTCCTAGTGGCATATTACACAAGAGCTAGAAATCATTGCTGGCTTATCCACAGTTACAAGGCCAGTTAAGTATACATGTAGAACTGGGATTTGAACCCTGGTAGGTCTCTGGAGCCTCCATGGACTCTCTTGCCTCCCATAATAAATCTTAAGTGCCCTCAACCCAGCTCATGTTACATTTCATTGTTCCTTCAACATCTAAAACATATTTACTCCACAATAATTTCTTCGGATTCCCTTAATTTTGTTGTTGGTACCATGACTCCCTTAGTCTTTTTTTTTTTTATTCTTTTTTTTCTTTTATTATTATTATTATACTTTAAGTTCTAGGGTACATGTGCATAATGTGCAGGTTTGTTACATATGTATACTTGTGCCATGTTGCTGTGCTGCACCCATCAACTCATCAGCACCCATCAACTCGTCATTTACATCAGGTATAACTCCCAATGCAATCCCTCCCCCCTCCCCCCTCTCCATGATAGGCCCCGGTGTGTGATGTTCCCGTTCCCAAGTCCAAGTGATCTCATTGTTCAGTTCCCACCTATGAGTGAGAACATGCGGTGCTTGGTTTTCTGTTCTTGTGATAGTTTGCTAAGAATGACGGTTTCCAGCTGCATCCATGTCCCTACAAAGGACACAAACTCATCCTTTCTTTTGGCTGCATAGTATTCCATGGTGTATATGTGCCACATTTTCTTAATCCAGTCTGTCACTGATGGACATTTGGGTTGATTCCAAGTTTTTGCTATTGTGAATAGTGCTGCAGTAAACATACGTGTGCATGTGTCTTCATAGCAGCATGATTTATAACCCTTTGGATATATATCCAGTAATGGGATGGCTGGGTCATATGGTACTTCTAGTTCTAGATCCTTGAGGAATCGCCATACTGTTTTCCATAATGGTTGAACTAGTTTACAATCCCACCAACAGTGTAAAAGTGTTCCTATTTCTCCACATCCTCTCCAGCACCTGTTGTTTCCTGACGTTTTAATGATTGCCATTCTAACTGTGTCTGTGAGATGGTATCTCATTGTGGTTTTGATTTGCATTTCTCTGATGGCGAGTGATCATGAATACTTTTTCATGTGTCTGTTGGCTGTATGAATGTCTTCTTTTGAGAAATGTCTGTTCATATCCTTTGCCCACTTTTTGATGGGGTTGTTTTTTTCTTGTAAATTTGTTTGAGTTCTTTGTAGGTTCTGGATATTAGCCCTTTGTCAGATGAGTAGATTGCAAAAATTTTCTCCCATTCTGTAGGTTGCCTGTTCACTCTGATGGTAGTTTCTTTTGCTGTGCAGAAGCTCTTTAGTTTAATTAGATCCCATTTGTCAATTTTGGCTTTTGTTGCCATTGCTTTTGGTGTTTTAGACATGAAGTCCTTGCCCATGCCTATGTCCTGAATGGTATTACCTAGGTTTTCTTCTAGGGTTTTTATGTTAGGTCTAACATTTAAGTCTCTAATCCATCTTGAATTAATTTTTGTATAAGGAGTAAGGAAAGGATCCAGTTTCAGCTTTCTACTTATGGCTAGCCAATTTTCCCAGAACCATTTATTAAATAGGGAATCCTTTCCCCATTTCTTGTTTTTGTCAGGTTTGTCAAAGATCAGATGGCTGTAGATTTGTGGTATTATTTCTGAGGACTCTGTTCGGTTCCATTGGTCTATATCTCTGTTTTGGTACCAGTACCATGCTGTTTTGGTTACTGTAGCCTTGTAGTATAGTTTGAAGTCAGGTAGCGTGATGCGTCCAGCTTTGTTCTTTTGACTTAGGATTGTCTTGGCAATGGGGGCTCTTTTTTTGGTTCCATATGAACTTTAAAGCAGTTTTTTCCAATTCTGTGAAGAAAGTCATTGGTAGCTTGATGGGGATGGCATTGAATCTATAAATTACCTTGGGCAGTATGGCCATTTTCATGATATTGATTCTTCCTATCCATGAGCATGGTATGTTCTTCCATTTGTTTGTGTCCTGTTTTATTTCACTGAGCAGTGGTTTGTAGTTCTCCTTGAAGAGGTTCTTTACATCCCTTGTAAGTTGGATTCCTAGGTATTTCATTCTCTTTGAAGCAATTGTGAATGGAAGCTCATTCATGATTTGGCTCTCTGTTTGTCTGTTACTGGTGTATAAGAATGCTTGTGACTTTTGCACATTAATTTTGTATCCTGAGACTTTGCTGAAGTTGCTTATCAGCTTAAGGAGATTTTGGGCTGAGACAATGGGGTTTTCTAAATATACAATCATGTCATCTGCAAACAGGGACAATTTGACTTCTTCTTTTCCTAATTGAATACCCTTTATTTCTTTCTCTTGCCTGATTGCCCTAGATAGAACTTCCAACACTATGTTGAATAGGAGTGGTGAGAGAGGGCATCCCTGTCTTGTGCCAGTTTTCAAAGGGAATTTTTCCAGTTTTTGCCCATTCAGTATGATATTGGCTGTGGGTTTGTCATAAATAGCTCTTATTATTTTGAGATACGTTCCATCAATACTGAATTTATTGAGTGTTTTTAGCATGAAGGGCTGTTGAATTTTGTCAAAGGCCTTTTCTGCATCTATTGAGATAATCATATGGTTTTTGTCTTTGGTTCTGTTTATATGCTGGATTACGTTTATTGATTTGCATATGTTGAACCAGCTTTGCATCCCAGGGATGAAGCCAACTTGATCACGGTGGATAAGCTTTCTGATGTGCTGCTGGATCCGGTTTGCCAGTATTTTATTGAGGATTTCTGCATCGATGTTCATCAGGAATATTGGTCTAAAATTCTTTTTTTTTTGTTGTGTCTCTGCCAGGCTTTGGTATCAGGATGATGTTGGTCTCATAAAATGAGTTAGGGAGGATTCCCTCTTTTTCTATTGATTGGAATAGTTTCAGAAGGAATGGTACCAGCTCCTCCTTGTACCTCTGGTAGAATTGAGCTGTGAATCCATCTGGTCCGGGACTTTTTTTGGTTGGTAGGCTATTAATTATTGCCTCAATTTCAGAGCCTGCTATTGGTCTATTCAGGGATTCAGCTTCTTCCTCGTTTAGTCTTGGGAGAGTGTAAGTATCCAGGAAATTATCCATTTCTTCTAGATTTTCTAGTTTATTTGCATAGAGGTGTTTATAGTATTCTCTGACGGTAGTTTGTATTTCTGTGGGGTCGGTGGTGATATCCCCTTTATCATTTTTTATTGCGTCTATTTGATTCGTCTCTCTTCTCTCTTTTCTTCTTTATTAGTCTTGCTAGCAGTCTATCAATTTTGTTGATCTTTTCAAAAAACCAACTCCTGGATTCAATGATTTTTTGGAAGGTTTTTTGTGTCTCTATCTCCTTCAGTTCTGCTCTGATCTTAGTTATTTCTTGCCTTCTGCTAGCTTTTGAATGTGTTTGCTCTTGCTTCTCTAGTTCTTTTAATTGTGATGTTAGAGAGTGTCAATTTTAGATCTTTCCTGCTTTCTCTTGTGGGCATTTAGTGCTCTAAATTTCCCTCTACACACTGCTTTAAATGTGTCCCAGAGATTCTGGTATGTTGTATCTTTGTTCTCCTTGGTTTCAAAGAACATCTTTATTTCTGCCTTCATTTCGTTATGTACCCAGTAGTCATTCAGGAGCAGGTTATTCAGTTTCCATGCAGTTGAGCGGTTTTGATTGAGTTTCTTAGTCCTGAGTTCTAGTTTGATTGCACTGTGGTCTGAGAGACAGTTTCTTATAATTTCTGTTCTTGTACATTTGCTGAGGAGTGCTTTACTTCCAACTATGTGATCAATTTTGGAATAAGTGTGATGTGGTGCTGAGAAGAATGTATATTCTGTTGATTTGGGGTGGAGAGTTCTGTAGATGTCTATTAGGTCTGCTTGCTGCAGAGATGAGTTCAATTCCTGGATATCCTTGTTAACTTTCTGTCTCGTTGATCTGTCTAATGTTGACAGTGGGGTGTTGAAGTCTCCCATTATTAGTGTATGGGAGTCTAAGTCTCTTTGTAAGTCTCTAAGGACTTGCTTTATGAATCTGGGTGCTCCTGTATTGGGTGCATATATATTTAGGATAGTTAGTTCTTCCTGTTGAATTGATCCCTTTACCATTATGTAATGGCCTTCTTTTGTCTCTTTTGATCTTTGATGGTTTAAAGTCTGTTTTATCAGAGACTAGGATTGCAACCCCTGCTTTTTTTGGTTCTCCATTTGCTTGGTAGATCTTCCTCCATCCCTTTATTTTGAGCCTGTATGTCTGTGCATGTGAGATGGGTCTTCTGAATACAGCAAACTGATGGGTCTTGACTCTATCCAGTTTGCCAGTCAGTGTCTTTTAATTGGAGCATTTAGTCCATTTACATTTAAGGTTAATATTGTTATGTGTGAACTTGATCCTGCCATTATGATATTAACTGGTTATTTTGCTCGTTAGTTGATGCAGTTTCTTCCTAGCCTCGATGGTCTTTACGTTTTGGCATGTTTTTGCAATGGCTGGTACCGGTTGTTCCTTTCCATGTTTAGTGCTTCCTTCAGGGTCTCTTGTAAGGCAGGCCTGGTGGTGACAAAATCTCTAAGCATTTGCTTATCTGTAAAGGATTTTATTTCTCCTTCACTTATGAAACTTAGTTTGGCTGGATATGAAATTCTGGGCTTAAAATTCTTTTCTTTAAGAATGTTGAATATTGGCCCCCACTCTCTTCTGGCTTGTAGACTTTCTGCCGAGAGATCTGCTGTTAGTCTGATGGGCTTCCCTTTGTGAGTAACCCAACCTTTCTCTCTGGCTGCCCTTAAGATTTTTTCCTTCATTTCAACTTTGGTGAATCTGGCAATTATGTGTCTTGGAGTTGCTCTTCTCGAGGAGTATCTTTGTGGCGTTCTCTGTATTTCCTAAATTTGAATGTTGGCCTGCCCTTCTAGGTTGGGGAAGTTCTCCTGGATAATATCCTGAAGAGTGTTTTCCAACTTGGGTCCATTTTCCCCCTCACTTTCAGGCACCCCAATCAGACGTAGATTTGGTCTTTTTACATAATCCCATACTTCTTGCAGGCTTTGTTCATTTCTTTTTCTTCTTTTTTCTTTAGATTTCTCTTCTTGCTTCATTTCATTCATTTGATCCTCAATCGCCGATACTCTTTCTTCCAGTTGATCGAGTTGGTTACTGAAGCTTGTGCATTTGTCACGTATTTCTCGTGTCATGGTTTTCATCTCTGTCAGTTCGTTTATGGCCTTCTCTGCATTAATTATTCTAGTCATCAATTCTTCCACTCTTTTTTCAAGATTTTTAGTTTCTTTGCGCTGGGTACGTAATTCCTCCTTTAGCTCTGAGAAGTTTGATGGACTGAAGCCTTCTTCTCTCATCTCGTCAAAGTCATTCTCCGTCCAGCTTTGATCCGTTGCTGGCGATGAGCTGCGTTCCTTTGCAAGGGGAGATGTGCTCTTATTTTTTGAATTTCCAGCTTTTCTGCCCAGCTTTTTCCCCATTTTTGTGGTTTTATTTGCCTCTGGTATTTGATGATGGTGACGTACTGATGGAGTTTTGGTGTGGATGTCCTTCCTGTTTGTTAGTTTTCCTTCTAACAGTCAGGACCCTCAGCTGTAGGTCTGTTGGAGATTGCTTAAGGTCCACTCCAGACCCTGTTTGCTGGGTATCAGCAGCAGAGGCTGCTGAAGATAGAATATTGCTGAACAGCGAGTGTACCTGTCTGATTCTTGCTTTGGAAGCTTCCTCTCAGGGTTGTACTCCACCGTGTGAGGTGCGGGGTGGTGGTCTGCCCCTGGTGGGGAATGTCTCCCAGTTAGGCTACTCAGGGGTCAGGGACCCACTTAAGCAGGCAGTCTGTCCATTCTCAGATCTCAACCTCCGTGTTGGGAGATCCACTGCTCTCTTCAAAGCTGTCAGACAGAATTGTTTGCGTCTGCAGAGGTTTCTGCTGCTTTTTTGTTGTTGTTGTTGTTTAGCTGTGCCCTGTCCCCAGAGGTGGAGTCTACAGAGACAGGCAGGCCTCCTTGAGCTGCTGTGAGCTCCACCCAGTTCGAGCTTCCCAGCGGCTTTGTTTTAACTACTTAAGCCTCAGCAATGGCAGGCGCCCCTCCCCCAGCCTCGCTGCTGCCTTGTCGTTAGATCGCAGACTGCTGTGCTAGCAATGCGGGAGGCTCTGTAGGCGTGTGACCCTCCCGGCCAGGTGTGAGATATAATCTCCTGGTGTGCCCGTTTGCTAAGACCCTTGGTAAAGCACAGGATTGGGGTGGGAGTTACCCAATTTTCCAGGTGTTGTGTGTCTCAGTTCCCCTGGCTAGGAAAAGGGATTCCCTTCCCCCTCACACTTCCCAGGTGAGGCGATGCCTCGCCCTGCTTCAGCTTTTGCTGGTCGGGGTGCAGCAGCTGACCAGCACCAATTGTCCGGCACTCCCTAGTGAGATGAACCCAGTACCTCAGTTGAAAATGCAGAAATCACCTGTCTTCTGTGTCGCTCGCGCTGGGAGCTGGAGATTGGAGCTATTCCTATTCAGCCATCTTGCTCCGCCCCCCCACTCCCTTAGTCTTACAGGCTTGACACCTTAGTTCTATTTTTGATTCTTCTCCCTATCTATATTCAGTCCTTTAGTAGGTTCTATCAGATTTTAATTGCCAATATTTCTTGCATCTGTCCCATCATGTTCCATATTTGTAGGGGAAGATAATGTGTTTGAGATGCTAATGTGAAGTGCCAATGTGAGTCAGAGCTAGAAATTCTGGTTTTGAGCAATGGATGGATATATCTGAACTGGAGATACGAGTCTGGGAGTCATCAATGCAGAGAGGATGGCTGAAGCTGTGAATAAATATGATCACTCAAGGACAGTGCCTAGAGTTATGAGAAAAGGTAAAGGAGAGAACACTAAGGAACACGGGAAGAATCTGAAAAATGAGATCAGAAGTGTTCGAGGGCTATACTTACCTAAATGTTTACAGATTATGTTTTCCAGAAGCTTTTCTGATTTTTATTTTCTTTCCTTACATTGTAATTATACTCTAAGCCTTTACATGATGTGATGATATAAGCCTCACACATTAGGCCTCCATTACCCCATTTACATGGGTCTTTTGGACTGAAACACCAACTTCTTTTTCCTTAACTCCTAGCCCCTCAGACATACCAACCTGTCCTATAAATACACCTTACTTCCTATTTTCAATTCTATTACTATAGCAATATTAGCAAATTAGAAAATATGAAATTAGTTCATTTAAATAAACCATGGCAACACAATTTTTAAAAATCAGAAACTTTAAAATTCCTATGTTGCAATGATACAAATAATTTTACCTTCAAAGTCTTACCTCATGTCAATCACTTGACTAATGACAACACTGGGCTGAGATGCTTTTCCTTCAGCAATATCGTACAGAAACAGTTTGAAGTCACACACTATAGCCAGTGCTCTCTGCCACCCTTTCTTCACTCCGGCTGGTTTAGGAATCTTAGTTTTGTTTTAGACAGACAGGCAAACAAACAGCCAAAATAACTCAAATGAAAATATGCCTTAAATCACATATGTAATTGCATGGTGAAGATGTACAGATAATGTACATGTTTTATAAGTCTGCCATTCTGGTTGGTAAAGTAGCAGATGGGACACATATCATTAAGCTATGAGAAAATGTGAGAACACATTCTTCAAATACTGAATGACTTTTTATTCTGAGGAACATTTTAATGGTATCATTTTAACTTTCACTAGTATTTCATTAAAATAACACTCATGGTTTTCTTTCTAAATAGCATAAAACTAAAACTTGGTGTAAGATGAAACTCAGCTTACACTGTAAATACTACCCAAGATAACAAGACTATGCCTTGATAATAGCTCATAATTCATAACCATATGCCACCTCTCTTGCAAGACCAGGTACTACAAACTCCTTTATGAAGATTTCATCACAAGATAGGAACAACATGGAAAAACTTGAGACATTTTATAGGTTATTTCCATGTAAAAGCTAGGTTTTTGTTTGCAAATCATTATTCTAGATGAAATAAAATTATTAGATGAATTTTACTCATTTAATTTTCCAACAAGAACTATGCTCTTAAAATAACTGATTTGATTTTAATTCATTAATCAATCTTAAAAGATTAATCTAAACCCAACTTAATCATACTTACCCTGACATGACCTTCATATGCTGTTCCTATTCCTTTCTGAGGATCTATACCCAGAGGACCTTTTGTCTGTTCTGGAGGAACTGGACAAGTGGTTGGAGCTTTGTTTACACAAGTTATATGGCATGAGAATCCACATACTTTTGGAGGCAAAAAAGAAACATTTGATAAAAATTCATTTTAACAAAAAGAAAATTCACTGAACACTCACTGCATACAAGATGCTATGTTAGATGAATGCTTATCTCCAATTTTATCTTAAATAACTGTTTTATCATTTGGGTAGCTGATTCATTTGCTTACCAATGACAATTTTAATGAGAAATAGTAAATATTTTAAAAAGTATTTGTATTACTGTTGTTCTGTATTGACATTAGTGACCAAAAAGAGAAGCAAACAAAAGAAGCATCTAACCTTGTGAATAAAATGATTGATTTAGATTTTCTAAAAGAGTGGTTTTTAGAGTTTTTTGCTCTTCATCCCACTGCAACTTGGTATCTGCCTTGAAATTTCTCTTGCAAGGGTCTCTAGTGGGCATTAAGCTATCTGACATCTTTGGTTTGGCAAACCCTACCAATCCTTGAAAATGGAGTTTTTCAGTGACTAAAAAAGTACAAGTTGAAGGTAAATTTTAGGAGTTATTATTACATATACTTAAACTACTACTAAAATAACAATAGTTCACTTTATGGAGTGCTTTTTATTTTTCTGTAACAATGTAAGAGAGGTACAGTTACCATCTCTATAAATGGACTATACATCACTGATGGATATTGTGAAACAAGCAGAGAGGCAAGATGACAAAAATCATCCAAACGTCTCAATTCACTTTATTTATTTATTAAAGAGAGGGTCTTGCTATGTCGCCCAGGCTGGCCTCAAAATGATTCGCTTGTCTAGCCTCCTGAGTAGTTGGGACTATAGGCATGAGCCATCACACTCAACTTCAATTCACTTTTAAGTAGAGTATCTAGCAAGTTATGATTTGTTTTACTTACAAGCAAACGGCAGTGGAAGCAACAAAATAAGTATCCTATACTGGATCTAATTCCAACCAACCACAAGGAAAGGAACAAGACAGGAATCTTTAGAAGCTGGAACCACATTATTATAACATTTACAAAAGCCTGGCAGACAAAGGCTAGGCACAGTCTCATGAGACCCCACAGCTTCATAAAGTATGCTTCAAAGGGTCTGAAGAAAAGATGCGGACAACTTCACAGCAAAAGATTCTAGAAGGGAAGAGAGTCTGAGAAGACCTCAAAAACTGCTATTATGAATTGCAAATAATTGTGGGGCATAAAAAATGACATGGGACTTAAAGCCAGGTAGCTGGCCAGGATTCTAATAAATTTTAGAATGACACACCAGTACTGGCTAAGTTCCAAAATGAAACAAAGCTTGAAAACTACAAATTTTCTCCTTCTTTGGCTTCAGTCACACCTTTCTAGTCAATAATATAGGCGATTCCTTCTCAGGTTACTTGGCTATCTTTTCCTGTTGCTTTCCCTTAACTATGTAAGCGACTCATGTACTTGCTCTCTTCTCAATCTACATGTGCTTCCTGGATAATGTCATTTTCATGTTTATAACTTAATACACTCATAACTCTTAAATCTCTGCTTTCTTAACCCTGAACATTTTATTTGGCTTGAAAACACATGTATCTAATGAACTAGTTAAAATACTGCAATCTGGATCTTTCAGTTTAGTTGTGAGAACTAACCAAACAGAATGCACTGCCTTAAGGTGTTATTAATTTCCCTCTTACTCAAAGTACTCAGATATAGGCTAACTACAAGTATATTATAAAGGAAACACACGCATATGATGGGGATTGGCTACATTTCCTTTAAGGTCCCTTCCCATCCTTACAGCAGAAGAAGTAGGAAATGGCAACTAGTATTAGAATTTGAGTTAGCAACTATTTTCTTGTCTTTTCCATAAGATAAACCAATATATGAGAGATCTTCAGAAAGTTCATGGAAAATGCATATTATGGAAAAACTATGCATGGATTTAAAATTTTCTTTTGTACCAAAATAAATGCATACTAACTTGTCATAATATGTCTGAAGAGGATCTAGTTTGAGGCACTAAGAAGAATGAGACATCAATTTGAAAAGAGCCCCTATCAGAGCAACATTAATTCTGTTAAAATTAAGTAAGAACAAATATATATTTTACAATGAAGCTTGGGTGGAAGAATGGTGAAATCATTGATGCTTTACAAAAAGTTGATAGGGACAATGCCTGATATGGTTTGGTTGTGTTCCCACCCAAATCTCATCTTGAATTGTAGCTCCCATAATTCCCACATGTCATGGGAGGGACACAGTGGGAGGTAACTGAATCATGGGGGCAGGTCTCTCTGTGCTGCTTTGGTGATAGTGAATAAGTCTTATGAGATCTGATGGTTTTATAAAGGGGAGTTCCCCTGCACATGCTCTCTTGCCTGCCGCCATGTAAGATGTGACTTTGCTCCTCTTTCACCTTCCACCATGACTGTAAGGCCTCCCCAGTCATGTGGAACTGAGTCAATTAAACCTCTTTCCTTTATAAATTACCCAGTCTTGGGTATATCTTTATTAGCAGCATGAGAAGAGACAAATACAATGCCTTAAAGAAATTAGCAGTTTACAAATGCATAACTCATTTTAAGAAGGGATAAGAGGACGTCAGAGATGAAACCTGCAGTAGCAAACCTTCTACATTAATTTGCCAGGAAAAAAATTAATCTTGTTCATGTTTTGTCTGAAGAGGACTGATGAGTAACAGCACAAACAACAGCCAATACCACAGACATCTCAACTGGTTCAGCTTACACAATTCTGACCAAAAATGAATGCTGAGCAAACACTTGTCAGATGCCGAAACTACTGCACCTAGATCAGCTGCAGAATGTTAGATGGAGATTTTAAACAAGTGGGATCAAGATTCTGAAAGATTTCTTTGAAGAACAGTAGCAGAAGATGCAACATGGCTTTACCAGTATGGTCCTGAAGAAAAAGCACAATCAAACCAATGGCTACCAAGATATGGAAGTGGTCCAGTCACAGCAAAAGCAGACCAGTCAAGAGTAAAGGTCATGGCAATAGTTTTTGGGGATGCTTGAGGCATTTTGCTTGTTGGAGGCAAAGATTGATAGCACCTGTTTATTATGAGAGTGTTTTGAGAAATGTAGCCAAAGTTTTAGCAGAAAAACGCCTGGGAAAAGCTTCACCAGAGTCCTTCTTCACCATGACAGTGCTCCTCCTGCTCATTCCTCTCATCAAATAACAGCAATTTTGTGAGTGTTTCCATGGGAAATCATTAGGCATCCACCTTACAGTTCTGATTTGGTTCCTTTTGACTTCTTTTTGTTTCTGAATTTCAAAAAGTCTTTAAGGGCACCCATCTTTCTTCAGTTAATAATGTAAAGGAGACTACACTGACATGGTTACATTCTCAGGACCCTCTGTTCTTTAGGGATGGACTAAATGGGTGGTATAATTGCTTACAAAGTTGTCTAGAACTTAATGGAGCTTATGTTAAAAATTAAAGTTTATATTGTTAATTTTTATCTTTAAATTCTACTTTTCCACAAGCTTTTTGAAGTCCCCTCATATAAGGTAGCATTGTAGCGACAAATTTCATTTGACTTTTAAAAAAAGTATTCTTCTGAAACATCAAAAAAGAAATAATATATTCCATTATAATTTAAACCATTTTCACTTCAGAGGTCCTAAGAAAAATAAAGCAATACCCAAACAAATAAATATGCTTTCTTTTCTGTTCACATGACCCCAACCCTCTCTCCTTCATCACTCAGAATGTATGCTCTATGAGGGTAGGATCTATGCCTTTCCCCTATTCACTATTATGTCCCCAGTGCCTAGAAGTACAGTGGGTTTTCCATAAACATGTGATGAATAAATCATGGATGGTAGAGAAAAAAAAAACCTCTGCTATTAATACAGGAATAAAATATCTTTCAGGCATAGCGGCAGACATTTAATATTTCTGAAAAGGTGCCCACATTGTCTACTTTTCAATAACAATTTCTCTAAGGAATTAAACAAGGTTAAAATTCAGTGAATTTTCTTCTGTCAGATAGGTTAATGTTTTTTGGTGGGGACTATAAATTTACTCAATAACAAAACAAAGACAAATGAACCATATTTAAATATATTGCCCCTGAAAAATATGTCTAGTTTCTCAAACATTCAACAGACAACATAGATTATTTCCATTCCTGTTATGTAAAAAAGCAAATGATTAAGTAAAACAAACATTTATATACCTTTGAAACAGAATCAAGTTATTTGATTACAATTTAGATAGTGAAGTCACATTTTCTTTCCTTTTTGTTCTTACCTTCACATGAACAGCCCTGTCTTATTAAACCCACCATCAAGGAGGTACACTGATGACACTTGGTAGGAGTAGTAAAAGATTTTACAAAAAACTGGTGAGTCTTGCGCTGCAAAACAAATTGATAAAAAAACACACATTGATTGTTTAAAAGATTTCCACAATGTGAGTCCCTATGCCCCATATCACTTTCTAGAATGTTTCCTAAATAGGAATATAATGAATTATTTCCATTTCTCATTACATCTTCTTATGGTTTATGGTCTTTAAACATTTGTATTAGGTAATTTGAACTTGACTAAGCTAAAATAATTAAGAAGTTAAATGATAATAAATTGCTCTTGAATGCCATTTGAAAAGTATGTAAAATAAATAATAGCTTTTTTGGGGGGCCATAAATCTTAGCTTCAGAATTTTAATAAATTATCCAAATTATTGTTCAGCAAATAGTTAAGTAAAATATTGGATATTTATACTTATACAAACATAGGATTTTAATGTGCTTTATATCTTCTTAGGAAAAAAATTATTTAAAATTATTGTTTCTACTGTAAATCATGTATTTCTCTTTCTGGGACCAAGGACAAATAATATGCTTCACAAATCAGTTTCCTCCTATGCAAAGAGGCAGTATAATACTTGAGCAGATAAAAATACACATATATTATTCCAGAGACAGATGGCAGATTGAAATTTCTTACTGAATATCCCATAGTATTTTAGTCTTACCTGATTTACATGGTGGTAAGCAAATGTAGATTTTATCTCTTTGGAATATTCCTTTGTTTTCCAAATTAATTCTCTTAGCATGTTTTAACAATAAATGATGTATAATAAATAACCTTTCATTCTGCTGTGTGAACTTAGGAAAAATTTACTAAATTCCTCTCTGTCTCACTTTCCTTATCTACAAAACAGGATAAATAATAGTATCTACCTAATGGAGTGGTTAAATGAGTATTAATATAAACAAAGTCTTTCAAACAGTACCTGGTACATACTAAGTACTCAAAAAACATTTCTTTTTTAAAGAAATAATTTCAACTCTTAGATTCATGGGTACACATGCAGGTTTGTTACCTACTGAGTATATTGTATGATGCTGAGGTTTAGGGTATGACTGATCCACATTACCCAAGTACAGAGCACAGTACCCAATTTATTAGCCCTGGCACCCCACCCTCCTTCCCCTTCTCTAGTAGTCCCCAGAGTCTTTTGTTGCCATCTTTATGTCCATGGGTACCCAATGTTGTATGAATTTCGCTAATTATTTCTCTTTTAAATGTGTGATTGATTTAAACTACTAAGAACTCTACTCCATATTCTAATAAATTATGAATACTGATTTTAAAAGGTTATCAAGTAGCATTTATTTCAGTTGACACTAACATACGAACAAAACACTTAAGGGAATATTTGAAGCTTTAAAATTCAAGTTAAAAATAAATCTTGTTCTTTTCAACTGGGATATATGATTTGTACACTACAAAAGAAGTTTTAAAAAATGAAAGAAGTAGATTATCTTTTCACATAGAAAAACCTGACTACCAGCATTAGTCAGAGAATGGGATGAGATTCTCAAATTTAGAGTGGTCATGAGCTCTGGTCCAACCTCAAACCATTCTGTTCTAGAAGTTCCTCATGATCTTTTGGTCAGTTTCAAAGCAGCACTGGGATTTGACTCTAAGTAGAACACAGACTATCTTATTACTAACTCTGCAACTGCTCCTATAGCTTCTGAGTCCCAGTCAGGGCACAGACACTGTACCAGTACTTTACATAATTCATCTTATTTTGTGCAAACAATCACCTTGAAAGATAGATACTATTTCCTTATATGAAGGAATCTATTAAAATCATAAAATTTTGCTCTTTTTCCTGTATACTACTTTTTAATTTCTGGCTCTTTGAGAAACTATTATGAGTAAATTTTCTAGTGCTAACTTTTTCAATTGTTCAGAATGCATTAATGCAAAAGATGTAAAGTTATTTTACTGGTTAGTCCTAGAGGATTTTAATACAAAGAAGGAAAAGTTAATCAACTGCTCTAAGTAGCTTCATGTTTTTCTTCTTCTAAAGAAAAAGACATATCTGAAACACTAGCAATGAAACAACTCTAGGATTGACAAATTTATTAGTAATTCTTCACAATGCCCCTCAAATTGCATATATATACATATATATCATACACTTCCTCTCCAGCAAGAGATCTATTCAGGATGTTGCAATTCTGAGTATGACAGCAGGGAAAAATACAACAACCCAGTGTTTTGGATGAGCATTAATTTTAGGTAATAAATCATCCAACTGGTAAGTGCCGGTTAAATTATGGGAGAGGTTGTGCAATTTACTACTAAAGATTAAGGCATTTATGTTTTGCTAATCTCCACTAAGGACAGTATAACATAATTAAAGATCGTTATTCTGATGCCATCAATCTTTAGATAATACACAATAGGATTTTGTTTTTGTTTTGGTGTGAAAATGTATAAAGAAAGATACACAAATGATCAATTTTAGGGTCTAGATTCCTTGGCTTCTAATATCCCTGTTTCCTGCCTCCTGGTCAATATTTGATATCTAATACTTCCCTTTGGTGACAGCTAGAAGAGGAGAAAAAAATGAAAGGTATTAAAGTATGAACTAAAATTAGAATTTTAGATTACATGATCATTCGGAGTAGAAAGAATTAACTATAACCTCAAATTTCAAAGTGGTGATTAGAAAGAGTTTTTTTCTACTCTGATTTTGTCTGTGTGTAGATTTTAAGCTACACATTGGAGAAAGAAAGTAAAATGTTTTTAACAGACGATGTGAGAGCCAAGTGGAACCAAGCACAACTCTTGGTGAAAGCTTCAGAATTTATTACAGATAATTAAACTTTTACCACTAATAAATGACAAGTCAAATAGTATCTCATACAACCCTTTCTTTTCTACAAAAAATTTTAAAACATTTTAAATAAATTAAATTTTCTGGCCAGGCACGGTGGCTCATGGCCATAATCCCAAGCACTTTGGGAGGCCAAGGCAGGCAGATCACGAGGTTGAGAGATTGAGACCATCCCAGCCAACATGGTGAAACCCCGTCTCTACTAAAAATACAAAAATTAGTTGGGCGTGGTGGCAGGTGCCTGTAGTCCCAGCTACTCGGGAGGCTGAGGCAGGAGAATCGCGTAAACCTGGGAGGCAGAGGTTGCAGTGAGCTGAGATCACGCCACTGCACTCCAGCCTGGTGACAAAGTGAGACTTCGTCTCAAATAAATAAATAAATAAATAAATGAATAAATTTTCTTTTAAAAAATAATATTTTTTCTTCCCTTTTAAAATTTCTATTTTGAGATAATTATAGATTCACTTCTCTCTCTTTTAAAAAACATGAAATAAATTTTATTTCTTGGGGAAAATATTAGGTGCAACAAACTGAGTTAATATTTACTTCATAAAATATTATCAGCTTGGTAGAAGCCTCACTCTAGTTTTATTTTGTCTTATTTTGCCTTTCATCCTTGAGGATCCAATACCTTGGACATGTATATATCTTTATAAATTAGATAGTCTGAGTATGTGTTTTTATTTATATAAATGTGTTCCTGTTATATAACAGCTACATTTTAGGAATCTTTCCCCTATTTCCAACTCCCTACTGCCATAAAAAATACAGTAATAAACATCTTCATCATGTTGCCTAATGGATCTGTATGAAGGTTTTTCTAAAGGAAAGAGATTTTTCTGATGAAATGAGATTGCTGAGTCATACAGCTTACGTATGCCTCTACATTGCCTAGGTTCTCTCCCGAATGGCTGTACCCGTTTATACTTCCAGTATCCACGTGTGAAGCTGCCTGTTTCTCCACATCCATGATGTCATCTTACTTAATTTTATCTTGATTTTGAATAGAAAGTGATAGCAATTTTAAAATTAAATTTTAAAAATTTCTCCAATGATTAATGAAGTTGGACATTTCTTCACATGCTTGTTGACTATTGGGATTTCATCTTCTGGGAATTACTTATTTATATCACTTGCCAATCTTTCAACGGGATTTCCAGTCTTTTTCATATGGAGTTGCAGGAGTCTCTTATGTATTTTAGAAATAAACCTCTTATTAGTGGTAAACATTGCAGATATCTTCCACTAGTCTGTCATCATCTGTTAACAATGCTTTCAATGTAAAAACATTTTTAATTTTGATGTAAAGTTCACGAATATTTTCACCTTATGCTTGTGATTTGAGATCTTATATTTATTCCCAGTCACAAAAATTTTTTCTACATTTTCTGTGTTTTAAATTTTTAAAATCAAATTAATACACATGGCTGAAAAAGTAAAATGGTATTACAATGCTTATGACAAAATCAGAAGTATCCCTCCTACTTCCTAGAGGCAATTTCATTTAATTCTTCTTTTTTAAAAAGCTATTGCCCTCCTTCTGTAATAGATACCTCTCTTGGCAGGGGAGAGCTAGGGGTGGAAAGCCTATACCACAGTTTTTTGATTTGAGACATTAACTGTTCACTTCCTGCTATGGTAGAGAAGGATATGGCCCTTTTACACTATTTGCTCCCTTTTTTCATTTTTCCCAATATTGTTATAGGACAGTTTTAGCTTAAAATTTATATGCAATGTCTAAGTTATTATGACTAGAGAATCATTATTCACTAAGAAGTACACTATGGTTATCATTTCTTACTTGTATAACCTTATGATTTTTCTAAAGTCAACAGTGCCCCTCCCACCCTTGACTTTTACCTTTCTGTATCCCTATCACTAATCTTCCAGACTCTTCTAAGGAACTGTAAAATCCCCTGGAATCTATTTACGACATGGTCATACACACTGGAAGCCTTTCAGCCCCTTTACCCCTTTATATCAACCTGAAGACAACCCGGCTGAAGCCCTCTGGTTTCCTATTCCAGTCTTTCTCTTAACCGGTCTGTGTACAATTTCTTCTTCTATAGGCCTCATGTCTTTCTCTTTCCTGGCCCCCTTCCTTGTTCTGGTAGAACTAATTAAGTTTCCTTAGAAAGTGGCACATGGGTGATAAATTTTTTTGAGCTCTGGAATTTCTCAAAATGCAGTTTTTTCCCCTGACACTTGATGGGACGTTTGACAGGGAATCAAAAATCCTAGCTTGAAATCATTTTACCTTCTAACTATTCTTTTCATTTTGCTTTGGATAAGTACGTCATTTCAATTCCTGAATATTTGGATGTGATTTTTTTTTTTTTCCATCTCCTTAAAGGTTTAAAAAGTTCTATCTTTGGTATCTTGAAAACTCACACAACGATGTGACTGGGGACAGGTATTTGCCACCCACTAGTGCTAGTAGGCACTGATGGAAGTCTGCAATCTGGAAACACATTTTTCAGTTACAGGAAAAAGTCTTTTACTTACTTGATAATTTCCTTCCTTTTCTTTTTTCTGTTTTCCTTTCCAGGAACTTCTATTTGTTGGATATTGATTTCTGCTATTTTCTTTTCCTAATTTCTACCTGATTTTTTGCAGTATTTTCTAAGAGAATTCTCAAATGTATCTTTTCTCACCTACTGAATTTAAAAAATATTTATCATATTTTCTTTGAGACTTCTTATTCTCATATTGCGCTGTTTCTTTCTGCTTTTTGCATTGTCCCTTTTTCCTTCAACGAAAACAGGAAATATTTGTTCGTTTTGATCTTTTTCTTTTTTTTTTTTGAGACAGGGTCTCACCATGTCGCTGAGGCTGGAGCTTAGTGGTGCAATCTCAGCTCACTGCAGCCTTGACCTCCCAGGCTCAAGCGATCCTCCCTCCTCAGCCCCCAAGTAGCTGGCACTACAGGTGCACACCACCATCCCCGGCTAATTTTTGTATTTTTCATATAGACAGTGTTTTGCCATGCTGCCCCGGTGGGTCTTGAACTCCTGGGCTCAAGCGATCAGTCCACCTAAGCCTCCCAAAATGCTGGCATTACAGGTGTGAGCCACTATGTATCCCTGATCTTTTTCTTTTGTTAGATAATTTTGAAATGTCTACTGACTCTTGGGAATCTTAACGTTTACAACAGTCAGTAAAAAAGCTAAAGAGATTTTGTGTATATCTATGTATACACATGTGAGAGCAAACATATGATGTGCTTGTTAAGAAGGGACCTAGCCATCTCACTAGGAAGCCCCAAATGACATTATCAATAGGTCTTTTCTGGGTCATTCAGTGGACCCAAGAATCCACTGATATCCTCTGAGCAGAGTGGGGAGGAAGAGGCTATAGTCCCAACAGTCAGTATTCTGGGAGCTAAGCAGAGGAAAGGCTTTCAGGTCTCGCCATTCAGTACATGGACTTTTGACAAATCCCATTATTTGTGGTTTCACACTTCTTTCTCTCACCAACCAGTGAGCCTGGTGCCCCTAAATTGTGGTCTTGTGGTCTCTTTGGTTTAATTACTTCACAAAATTAACATATTGCTGAATTGGGGTGGTTGTCTGGTTTTCAGAGCTGGTATAATACTTTATGTGGACTTTGAATCAATTCTCTAATTTATTCTAGACTCCCACTTCATTCTTGCCTCTCAAACTACTTGGTGTCTTATCATTTTGGTTGTCTGAAGCTTGTTCCCTAGTACATTGCTCGGGAAGGGGTGTGGGAACAGATTTCCTGAGCTCTTACATGTTCTTAATAGTTTTCTGTGGCCTTCATTTTTGGAGGATGCTTCATTATCCTTAAAATATTAAATCCTTAAAAATCTTTGACTTGTACTTTCCTTGGGTATCTTAAATGTGTTATTCCACTGCTGTTGTTTTTAGCATACTGCTACTATGAAAAAATCTGATGATAATCTCATTTTCTTTCCCCTTTAAGTGACATATTTTTTGCCTGAATGCCCAATACTTTTCCTTTTATTTATAAGCCATTAGTTTACTAGAATATTTTCTTTTGACTGGGTTGTCATATATCTTGTTTCCTGTTTTTCATCTTATCTGCCATCCTACTAACTTGTTTTTCTGTGATATCCATTTTGCCCCTTCTACTATTAAAGTCATCTATTTAGTTATTTCAGCAGTTCTGTTTTCATGTCAAGTATTCCCAATTTATTTTTCTTCCTAACTACCTTACCCTGCCTCATGTTACCAACATACTTCTTATCTCTTTAAGGTTATTTTTAATGTTTATTTTAAATTCCTGTTCTATCTGGCCTTAAAATTTTGCTTTATCTGGGCACAGGTTATTTCAGTTGGTCTTTCTTCTATATCAGTTATATTTTTTGTATATTTTTTCAGGTTCATTGACCTCTCTCTCTCATTTTGTGGTTTATCCAAGGTTTATGTTCTGGAGAGGGAGATCATTCAGTTTTCCAATTTCTGGAATTTCTTTGTAGGAGCTTGAGACAAGCAACTACATCTTCTCATTCTACCAAATGTAATACTTCAGTCATATTTATGTCAAATAGAGTGGGGAAAAAAAGTCCACTTGAATTTTTCACTAAATGTTTTTCTTTCTCAGTGGTTTACTGACTTCAGTCTCAGATTCTTCCACAAGCGGCCTCAACTTAATGCCTTACTGAGGCTTATACTGCTTAGAGGAAGCGCTACTTATTATAACGACTTCAAAACATTGAATTTAAGAAGATGAGGCCGGGTGCAGTGGCTCAAGCCTGTAATCCCAGCACTTTGGGAGGCCGAGACGGGCAGATCACGAGGTTAGGAGATCGAGACCATCCTGGCTAACACGGTGAAACCCCGTCTCTACTAAAAAATACAAAAAACTAGCCGGGCGAGATGGTGGGCGCCTGTAGTCCCAGCTACTCGGGAGGCTGAGGCAGGAGAATAGCCTAAACCCGGGAGGCGGAGCTTGCAGTGAGCTGAGATCTGGCCACTGCACTCCAGTCTGGGCGACAGAGTGAGACTCCATCTCAGAAAAAAAAAAAAAGAAGAAAATGAAAAAGTGCTGTACCCTCTCCCTGCCTTTCCTATTGGTGATTATTTGCATTCACACAGAATTTATAAGTTTTTCTGTTTGTAACTTTGAAGAAATAATATCAAAAAAATCACAGCAAATGCATAGAGCAGATAAAATTCATTTTTTTTTGGAACACACTATGCTTATAACTTTATAACTAGATTGAGTACCTTAAGTGGAAAGCCAGTTGAACCAGGACATCCTTTTTTCCTTAAGGTTGGTGTGTGAACTGGAAGTGGAGTGGAGTCTACAGTCTGAACCCAGGAGCAAAAAAGGAAATAAATGTCATGAAACACTCCATTAATTTCAAATATAACTAGAAAGAAGCCAAAATAAATAAAACCAAACAAAACATCGATAAGGTAAAAAGTTCTACTAATTAATAATAAAGAAAACCTCAGTAAAGCTAAAATTCTCATAGTGCTGATAATTTGAATCTCTACCTGCAATATCTACAAATGAAATATTTGTTCAATTAGTAAGTTACTTCAGTCTGGAAATACAAAAATAAATCATTTGGATCAAATGATCCAAATAAAAAAAGCCATAGCATGTGGCCTACACAAATATGAGGATATTTTTACATTCATCTGAATTTGCCATATTAATTCTAAAAAGTGTCTGAAAATGATTTATAATAAAATATTTAGAAGATTCTTTTAACTACTCAACTTTCATACACAGAACATATATTACATATATAGAACACAGCTCTGGATGTGAATACATAGACAGATAAGAGACTGACACTGGGATTTTTGTGCAGAAATTAATTTCCAAAGAAGGGAATTATTTAATTTTATTGGAATTATTTAATATTATTGGAATTCTGACCTTAATACAAATTTAGTCACATACCGTATCTTTCTTAGGTAGCTATGTAAAATATGGTCTTCTTTTATGGGATTTTATTGTAAGCTATTTCTTTGAAAAAAACCAATAATTTCACTGGATGTTATTATGGGGATAAAAGAGCCACTGCTTAATCAGCAAAGTAGTTTAAAAACAAAACAAAACAAAACAAAACATGGAAAGTAACTTCCTTTCAGGATGCCAAGCAAAAAAATAAAAGGAAAAAGCCAGTCTTTGTATAAAGTACAGAATATTTTAAAATATTACAAGAAAAATGGATGGTCCTTTCTTTGCTGTTACTATACAACCTCGTCTTTGTTGTTACTATACAACAATCTATCTTTGTTGTTACCATACAACCTCCAAAAACAGAATATTTTATATGCACTATAGCCTTAAAACAAAATTCAGTCGAGTTTCTCAGTTTTCTGTTTGTGAGTTTAGCTCTAATTTAGATTTTATTTACTTTTAAATAGCTCAAAAAGTTTTAAACCAAACTTATAATTTAACATTTGAAGAGATAAATATGAAAGATAAAAGAGAAGAATGCTGAAAATCTATGTAAGTTAATAAAAAAACAATAGGAAACAAATTTGTCAAATTTACATAGAAAGTTCAAAGGTTATTAGAATTAAAAAGAATTAAGCAAGGGTGCTGGATACAAGATCTACAGAGTTTATAAAGACAAGGCAATGCACAGTAAGAAAATGTATTTAAAAAGAATCCCATTCACCATAGAAACAAAAAATTTAAAGTACTTAGGAACAAATCTAACAAGCAATATGAAATACACTGAAAATAATGAAACTTTATTGAAGGATATAAGAGAATCCCTAATATGTATACTATGTTCATAGATGGAATACTCAGTATCATGAAAGATGTCAATTCTCCTCAAATAGATCTACAAATTAATGTAATTCCAATCAAAAGCCCCATGTGAAACTTGACAAGTTGACCTTAAAAGTAATATGAAAAACTAAAAGGTCAAGAAGAAAAGGAAGAAGAAAGTAAGTGGGATGGCTCACCATACCAGGCATCAGGAATTATTTTAGAGTGAAAATAATTGTAATTAAGACAATTTACTGTCAATGCAGGAGTAATCAAAAGAACAATGCAAAAGAATTGAGAGTATTCAAACAGATACATGCATATAATGCAGAAACAGACATTACAAATCGATGGGAAATATAGCAGGGTCACGTGTTCATATGGGAAAAAGACATTAGAAGCCCATTTCCCATTATACATAGCAATATATATCAGTTTGATTAAGGTCCTAAACAAGTAAAAGCAAAATTTAAAAACTTTTAGAAGAAAATATAGAAGAAAATCTTTATAATTTCTGCAAAGAGAAGAACTGCTTTAAAAAGACATAAAAAGCAGAAGTCGTAAAGAAAAAGACTGATAAATCTGACTATTTTAAAATCAAAACTTTTGCAAGACAAAAAGACACCACAAATAAAATTTTAAAATAAGCCACAGACTGGGAGAAAATATTTGCAATGCATATAGTTAGCAAAGAATTAGTATCTAGAGTATATAATGAACACAAAAAGCTATAGGAAAAATGATTCAATAGAATAACAAAGGACACAAACGGGCAAATCATCAGTGGTCAATAAACATACAAAAAGATGCTGAATAACACTAGAAAACAGATGCAAGGTAAAACAAAACTGATACTTCATATCCATCAAGCTGGCAAAAATTAATGTGTGACAGTGAGGTGAGGTGAGGATGTGGGGAAATGGAGAACTCACACACATTGCTGGGGGAGTGAAAATTGGTCCAACCACTGTGGAAAACAATTTGGTAAGAACCAGTTGAACTTGAAAATACATACAACATACAACTCAGTAATTCCACTAAGTATATATGCCAAACAAACTGCACATTTGCAAAAACAGATATGAGGATATTCACTTCAGCACTGATAACAACGAGAAACTGGAAAAACCAAAATATCCAACTATAGCAGAAAGGATAAATAGTTGTGATATATGCCACAGTTATAATGAATGAACTAAATGAACACATATCTGTAGGAATAAACCTGAAAAGCAGACTTTTGAATGAAAAAAGTTACAAAAGGATACAGGTAATACTTATGTAAATTATAAACACATAATAAGCACTACTATATGTCATTTAGGGATACAAATGAAATAAACATGTAAAACCAAGAAAGGGAAGATGCACATCAGTTTTAGGATATTTAGATATGTCTGGGAAAGAAGAGTGGGGAATGGTATACACGAGGATGTTTCAACTGTTTCTGAAATATATTTTCTTTGAATAAAAATCTAAAAAACAATTAAGCAAAATTTTCATATCTGTTTAATCTGTGGGTGATACATGGGTGTTTATATTCTCTGAATGCTTGAAATATTTTATCATTAAAACAAAAATGTATAATCTCAAAATATTAAAACAATTATAACTAAAAACACAAGAGGGTCTCATTAACCAGTCTGGGGGAGTCTATCACAGACTCAGAAAAACAAGTCAGAACTTGACCACAATCTCACACTTTGCTTCAGACAGCTCTTCAGATTGGACTATCTGCTTCTATTGGAATGCTAGACACAGCTCTGGAGATTTAAAAAAAAGGAAAGCAAAGGAGCTTTGTCTGAATCGTGATGCTGAATGAAGAACCAGTTGAATCTTAAGGTAGGATGGCATGGACTGAGGTACAACATTCTTTGGACTTGTGGAAGAAATGATCTCTGATGAGAAAATTGGCCTATTGGCTATTTAAAACCATTGATTGACATTTAGTGTAAACACAGCACTGTTTTTTGCAGTACGAAATGCCAGGATTTAGTTGACTGTTACCAATTTAGCAGTTAGAATGAACTATTCAGTTGCCAGAAGTGGCTATTTTATTTTTCAGCTCTACTTATGATGTAACAGGTTAGTTATATCATGACTTATTACATTTATTAGAAGAATTAAAATATGAGAATGGCACCTGCATTGCCATTTGCCTAGAGTTTCTAATAATTCAAAAATTTACATAATTAATCTTCTGTTCTACACAGTTCTCTAATTAAAGACCATCTTTCTAGTTAGTTTTGTCTATTTCAGGTTGACTATTTGAGGACAATGTGCTCTTTAGTTTTTTACTTCTACCTACATTATCAGTTAAACGTAATTATCTCCAACAGACTGTAACTTATTACATAATATATTTGGTTAAGAGGAGAGAGACAGACTTCTTTTATTCAATTCCCTCTTTCCTGACACAAGTGAAAAGTTGGGGAGCAGGGCTGCTCCAATGAGGCACCTTAACTGGCTCAGCTTCACTAGATGTGGAAGGAGATGTGGACCGTGACTGGATGTGAAACTTGACGCTCGGGTTCCATACATATGTGTTCTCAACGGGATCAGTCTAGGAAAATAAGTCGGGAAAAACAAAAACCCAAAAAATCACTTTGAAACAATGTGCAGCTCTTAGCAAATTTCTGTAAGGCATGATTACGACAACATTTCTTGAGAAAGGAGGATAACAAACTTTAGTTTGAATATTTATCATTATACAGAAGCATAACCACTAGCTCTAATGTAAACAAGGATTGACACAATAGTTAACCAAAGGCTCCTCCCTGATCTTCACTGTTGATCTCTTACTTTGAGCACTGGTCCTACTGCACATTCATTCTACGTTGGTATTCCACATGGAACTTTTTATTTCACGAAACGAATCATACATGTGAAATCAATGTGGAGTACTTAATAGAGATACATACTGCAGATTAAAGATAATTTTGTCCTTGATAAGAATGAAGTTTGGTCTTTTACTACTCATCAATTGAAAGTAAAAAAACCCTAACCTATCAGTTTTGTGCAGGACACTAAAGGAAGTCTTCCCTTTATTTTGCACCAGTAGAAAAATCAGCACTTATATTCAGTCTCATCCTTTTAAACCCAAGTATTTTTAGAAATTAAAAATGCTTTGGGTTAAAATTTAGCATAAAAGATCTTATGAAGCATACTGATTGACCAGTCAGTTTGGCAAGTTTCATAGTTACTAGGATTGAGTTTTTAAAATGATAGGACAATGAAGACAATTTGGAAAAGTGGTTCAGGAATTTATTCTGAATATGTTGTACAACAAAACAATGCTTAGATCAGAGGTCACAAATCACAAGAACAGCATCAGTTTAAGAATTCAAACATGAACTTATAATTATTTTCCTTTGTTCTTACTGTGGCTATATCTTAGAGGGAAGACATGATGATAATGTACCCCTTAGAAATGTCACTGCTGAAAGATTCAGGTGCAGTTGAGACTGCTGGCAAAGTAGAACTATTAAAACAATGAATTAAAATATAATGCCCTGTACTCAAAACTAAGTGAAAAGCAAAATTTCTTTAAAATTCTGGGTTGAATGATAAATAATTGAGAATAGAAATACTTGGAAAAGAAGGTTCCCCTAGAAATTAACTTCATAGATTTGTTTTTAGTTCAAAAGAACTCTGGGCATGTGGCTTCAATCTCTAAGGGCACAAATTGTTTTCTCAAGTTGGGGATATTTTCCTATTGATAATTATGTAGAACGCTGTTATCCATGTATGATATGTTGCATATGTTAAAAACAGTCAACTTTTGTTCAATGTGGAGAATTTTAAAAATCTGGCAAGTGTATGGGAAGAACAGGCTAGCAGGCTGGGAAACACCATTGTAGCCCTCCATTGGTGCCCACTACGGCCTTCCTGGGTGGTGGACATGGAAAGGTATTCTGGTAACCACAAAGCCACTGTCAGGCCATAAACTTTCAGCTAGTGGATTTGGGAAAAGTAGGGAGAAGAAGGGTCTCAGTGAAGGCATTAGGGGTCTTGGAGCAGCAACCATTTACCAACTGCTAGGATACTCAATATTTTAAAAAGTGGCACCACTGAACTAAAGCTTACCAGCTGAATATCAGCTCTGTACGTGTGATGTGGCTGATTTCATGAAACTAGTATGCCTTGTGAAGTTGGAGAGCCAGGCCTGTATCCCATCTCTTGAGTCCAAATTCAGCACTATTTCTGTTCTACCAGAGGCATCTCCACAGCAGAGTAATTTACTCAAAGTAATTTAATAATCAAGGAGGCTAAGTAATATTAGCTCCTTTCCTGATAGTAAATTTTGACCAGGAAAAGAAAAAGTGGAAGAAAATGTGACTCAAGACACAGTTTGCCCAGTTTACAATTTTATTCAGGGACAGCCATGGAGAAAGTAATCAGTTTAGATTATAAATATGAAATCTGACCCTGAGTTGGGAATACGGCAGAAATGTCTTTCAGTTTCTAACAGTCTCCTCCTCCTAGTTTTCATAAGATTATATACATTGCAAGGACAATTAGGAGTCCATGGAGAGGGGCTTCAGTTAAAATGGAATTGAGAAGCAAAGCAGAATTGATACATTTTATACCAGTGAGAACTTAAAACTGACTGAAATATCAATTCAGGAAGTTTTAAGGTATCTAACTAGGGGACATTCTATGTGTAAAAAAACCGGGCCATCTTAGGAAAATTTAAAAGTTTCTGACTTGTTGCAAAAGGCTTTAGCCCCACAGCCTGACTGAAAGACATAAAATGAAAAGTTCCTGTGTGAAAGGTAATGCTGTGTATATGTGAATAGCTGATATAACGGCTTTGTATATCTGGGTTTGATTATTTCAAAAACTCTTTAAAAATGGGAAAGGCCAAGTGTTTGCTGTTTCCAAAAGCACAGGTTGAAATTTTACAGCAGGTCTGCTCTTTGAGCTGTTTAAACACATGCTGACAGAAGTTGGGCATACTGTCTTATACTTTCTCACATTAAAATTAGAAAACACTGCCTTATGCCATTTTGTCAGTATACGGTCTAATGGAAGGTTATATCATGAAATCAGCAAACCTAAAAAGCAGTGCTTTCTCTAGCCCCAGAGCAGGTTGTTAAAACACTTACCAGCATGTTTGCTGATCCTATGCAAATGTGATATTATGACAGTGGGATATTGGAGACAGGAAAAATACACTATCCATTTAATTTGTGACTACACAAATTAGTAACTCTTAAATAACTCTTGAGGCTTTTAACACACACCTCTTGGCTCCTCTGTCAAGTCTTATTCTCCTAACTAGTTTTTCTCCATCAATAAAAATGAAAGATAATATGGATATGGATAGATTTAAAAGTGATTTTCTTTGCTGAATGAGGTAAAAGGTGGTTATTCAGAAACAGAAAATATTTAATTTAAATGAAAATACTTGTAATAAAGTAGAATAATGAAAATTAACATACTAGCTTTTTAGAATTGTAGAATTGTATACTCTTAAAGTAAAAATCAATTTCAGAGTTTAAACAAAATCAAGTAATTTTTCCTTTAAAAAATAGTAAAAGTAAGTGAAATTACTGAAATATTTTGAGATGGTATTAGGCATATTAAAAAGTTGAACTATGTCAATTATAGTGATAGTCGTATCTTTAATTTTAAAAACCTATGAATATAATAATTAAAATTTAAAAATTACCACTTTACTTTCAAAGTGTGTTTCTTTTAAAGACAAAGGACAACGCTTGGTAAAGATGAATAAACTCAGGGCAAAAACCATTTCAAATATCAAAAAAAAAAAATGTCCAGGACTTTTAAATGAAGCTAATGCTAATAACATTAATAGATTTAAATATTTCATTTCATTTCTCGGTTACCACCAGTGTAAACAATATCTCAAAAGTGGTGTAACACTAAAAATAAGAAAAATACAAATCACTTATTTTCTTTATTCAAGTTTTAATTATTACCAACCAGAATGGAATTTTCAGGAAGTTACTAATTTTAACCACAAGTAAATGCTTACCAATGCATTTATAATTAATGGCTTATTGTATCCACTAAAAAGCAATTAATTCTATTAAACTTTCAGAATATTCAGTGAATACATGCTGGCATTTAAAGATAGCCTATGATTCAGTTTAACAATGAATTGTCAATGACTCTGATATAGTATAGCAACAAAGTAACTAATTAATACCATTAGTTATTTTATTATGAAGTATTTTAAAACCTTAAAAACAAACGTAATCATTATTAATATTATATTTTAGTCACAGAGGTTAAAATATTCTTTTTGCCATTTTTTATGTGCTAAAATAATATAGCATTAAGTATAATAACGCAGCAAAAGCTAATAAACATACAAAAATAGCAGAGATATTATAAATTCAATATAAGAAATATCTTTAAGTAAATGCAATTTTTTCTTTTTTTTTTTTTTTGGTTAGCTAATTTTCTTTTCCTAAGTAAACATACTTTAAGATGTTACTCTGACGAAGTCATTAGAAACATCTACTATACTTCAGTATCATTTTTACTTAATGCTCTGTTAAAAAAGAAGAAAAGCTGAATATTAGTGGTACTGTCCACACTGTGAAACATTTTAACGCAAAATGTTCATAATGGCCCCTGAATTTATTAGGATTTTTCTACTGAAAGATCTTCAAACGTATTTTTACAGTAGTACATTAAAAAAGGTTTTTCCTCTCCCCTCAGGATCACAGAACTGATTTTTAGATGACCCGCTTATCAAGAATTCCTCAAATTATGGACAGTATGGTTTTCCCATAAATAATAAAATTAACTAAACCCACTCATCTTGAATATGTATCAACAGGCCTTTTCTACTGCCTAAATAATTACAGATTTGTACAAGTAACAACCCTCTCATAAGAAACCTTGTTTCAAAGTAGAAAACACCAAGATTTGATATGGATTATACATGGTCAACCTACTAAAAATTAGCTTGCATTTAACAAGTTGTTTGTTATTGCTAAACATAAAACTGTAAGTTAAAAAGTCCCAGTTTCTTTTCTTTTCTTTTTCTTTTTTTTTTTTGAGACAAGGTCTTTCTCTGTTGCCCCCAATGTACGGCAGTGGCACAATCATGGGTCACTAAAACCTTGAACTCCTGAGCCGAAGAGATCCTCCTACCTCAGCCTCTAGAGTAGCTGTGAATACAGGTATGTGCCACCATGCCTGGCTAATTTTCATAAAACTTTTTTTGTAGAGGCAGGGTCTCCCTGTGTTGCCCAGGATGGTCTCAAACTCCTGGGCTCGAGCGATTATCCTGCCTCGGCCTCCCAAAGTGCTGGGATTACAGGCTTGAACTACCATGCCTGGCCAAAATCCAGTCTCTATCAATTTTCTTTATCCTTTAGCTAGAAGTATTTTGAAAACAAAGTGGAAGGTAATTTAGTATTTTGTATTTAGAACACGTATTTAGAATTTAGTATTTTGTATTTAGAACACGTATAAACTCAAATCTTCAGTGATATATTTATTGCTGTTAACTGAGCTTATGATACAAAAACAGTATTATAGAAGTACTATATCATTTGGAAAACAGTAAATACATTTTATTGCTCTAGAACAAATCCTAACAAATGACTAAAGGTTATGACCAGTAACGGTAAGCTTCCTAGTTATATATAATGCACCTTGTTTCCCTTTAAGAAAATTTATTCTCAAGTTATTTTCAATATACTGATTTGAATATTTAGTCTGGAGAATTTACACATATTCTAACAAAACAGAAGAGAAAGTTAAGCCATATGTGGGCTATAAAATTTCTGCTCCAAACTCTAAAGGAACAATCTGAAATAAGACATTCAGCGTTTCTCACTATTAATGAAAGCACTGTGGAAATCTCCCTCATCATTTCTATTTGGACATTAACAATACCATCAATAAAAACTTTTTCTTCTACTATACTTAATACTACTTATAAAGAAAAGTATTCAAACTGTAAATGAGGTTTAACAGCATACTAGAAAAAAGAATGCAAGAAACATTATTTTGTAATACTACCTCATTCATATGACATTTCATAGATATTTAATTTATTAAAATACTGCACATTTTCTTGTCTAAAACCATGGTATATAACATAAAATCTTATGCTACTGTTACAACAGAGGCCATTGTTAAGAATGGTAACTATTTGTGTCCTACTGAAATACACCGATGTCACAGGGAACACTGAGGTTCCACACTACGCCACTGAGATGCTTCTATTTAACAGCTGAGTAATTTGTAATTCTTCAAGCATCTTCACAGGCACTATTACTTTTCAGTGGCTGACTTTTTTTGTCAGATGCTTAACCAAAGAAAAACTGAAGGAGGCCAGAAAAGCAGATAACCAAGCTTATTATATCTATGTTTAAAATAATCATATGTAATTATAAGTCAATAGATTATGGTTAATTATAGTTTATTCATATCCCATAGAATAAAGACATAGAATTAAGGAGAGACCTTGTAACAGCTATTTCCCTCCACAATTTTTTTCTTATTTCAAGATTCACAAAAAATGTTCTAGGTGGCCAAGGCCCCAGAATGTCTGCAAGGCAAGTGAGACAAAATTAATCCATAATAAAATTAGAGAAACAAATCCTAAATTATAACCTTATTAAGAAAAACAAGTAGTTAAAAATTTAGTCAATTCACAGGGTGATGATTTGACCCTAATATAATTGGGCACACAACATATGGTTTTCCCTTCTAGAAGTTATGTAATATAATCAACATATATTCAGATTCATTTGATAAATCCAAATATCTAATGGTTTTAAGTCTCGACAATTTTCAAAATAATCAAGCAATCAGTTGAACTAGTAATCTTTCATAAACACAATAATTAATGAGATATCACTTGAATGCAGTTCTACTGGCCATAGTACAAGTATCCGAAATGCTTATTCATTATTAAGCAGCAATCCAAAAATATTATATATGCTATATTAGAGTTATTCAAGTTTATTTTACAACCAACCCTCCATCATACCAGAAAGACAGAACCACAGGAAGCAGGAGGCCACCCCAACTGCTTCCCATGCCTACCACAAACCAGAGAATTCCCTCATCTAGAACTTTCCGAGTCCAAGAATTCTGAATGTAAAGTGTTGATCAATTTCCATGGAGATGACCAGTGAACATTACGAACTTGTATCTATCACTGACTTTGCTTTTTAATGTTACTATTTTACATAGTATATGAAATCCCAACACTGTCAGCTACCCTGTCGCTTTTCCAATAGGGAGTATGTATGTGTGTACATGACTAGTGTTGGGATGTAGAAAAATTCCAACTCTGGGCATGTCAGAATCTTGTAGCACAGGGGTAGTGGTTGACTCATTTCAAGTTGAGACACATGGAGCTAGCATTAGTATAGGAAGATATTTACAGTTTGTTAATAATACATATATAAATAATGTTACTGATATTTTTTAAATCTTGGAATTATGTTAGAATAGAAAGGATTTATTATTAACATTATTTCCGCAGATGTAGATACATATTTTGGGAAATTCCTTCGAACTACATTAGGAAAAAACCCCAAGATTTCTCCAGAACTGATTTACATAAAATTGTAGTCAATCATTAAGATGTATAATTTATTCCAAATCATTTTTGAATTTTGTACAACATGAATTATCAAGTTTTCTTTCTACATAATTAAAATCTCTAAGAAACAATCTACATATTTGCTTACAACAGATTCTTAGGAGCTCATGTACTTTATCTCTGACTAATTTAGAAGGCATACTTTAGGATCACTTTTCCCTTTGATCAAAATAAAAAAGATATCTTATCATTTTAGTAGTTTGGTTGTAGTAATTTATATGAACATTCCTAAAGCTTTGCGGCCAAAGCCAAAAAATAAAAAAACACATAAAAGCAGCACAGCAACAGCAGGAGCAGCAGCACAAACATGCAATAAATGTAATAATATACCACAAAAACATTAACAGGTTCCGCAATCACAGGCAAAAGGATGAGAGAGGGGTAAAAGTGTCAGGATGGGTACATAAAGTGCAAAAGTCTCTTACACGTCTGCCTTTGCTAGCTGGAGTACAGGATGGAGAGCGCTTCAACAAAGAAAGGAGAATACAACATGTTACAAATATTTACACACATAAGACTCTCAAGGACTACTATTGTATTAACAGACAAAGTATATAAACATACACAGAAGGCCACCGTTTTGGATAGGCTGAATGTACATGTATTTTTAGGAAAACCTGGAGGATAGGATGGTAAAGAAACAGTTGTTTGGACTACGTCTAAGGTTGATAAACTTTTCACTGGCCCATGTACAGTGACCCACACAAGGCTTCATCAAGTGACGGACAATTTCTTTTCTGGAAAGGTAGGCAGTAGCAGACTGGAACAAATGAGAACAAAAAGGATCTAGTGCTCATTTAGTGCTGGCAAACATTTAATAAAATAATAAATTAGCCTGGTCTTAGACATTTACCTACTAAATTTTTACACTTTTCAAAAATGATTCTTTTAAATAACAAGGGCTAAGTTAGGATTTCAGAATTAAAGATAATATATTAAAATAAAAAGTTATTTGAACAATACTCCATCCTGACTCAACTTCAGCTGTAGTCAAAAGAGGGATTTTCACCTAACATTAAAGAATTAAGTAATTAGGAAAAAAGTAACAATTATCTCAAAATATTTTTGTGATGCTCCAGCAGCAGAGCTTCACTAATATGAAATACCTACTTCAGCAATTTCTAACATTCAATCCAACCTAACGTTTATTGTGAGCTTACAATACGTTGGATACTAAGCAGACTTCGCAAGGGACTGAAAGATAAACAAGACATGGAAGTTCACAGACTGGTAGAGAAGACATCATGCTAGCAACAATGTGACAAGTGCTATCATTGAGATACATAAAAGGTTTGTATGGGAACCTAGAGGAGAGACAGACAAGATTTTCATGGGGACCTAGATGAGGGAACTTATAGACTAGGTCTACAGGAGTTATAGAAGATTTAAGAAAAAAGTGAAAAGTTCAAGAATGAGAAACACCACCAAAAATTCAGTATTAGTGTTACAATAACTCTGGCAGATAAGTAAATAGGAACTACTATTTTTTTTTTTTTTTTGAGACAGAGTCTCGATCTGTCACCCAGGTGGATACAGTGGTGCGATCTTGGCTCACTGCAACTTCCACCTCTCGGGTTCAAGCAATTCTCCTGCCTCAGCCTCCTGAGGAGCTGGGATCACAAGTGCGTACCACCATGCCTGGCTAATTTTTGTATTTTTAGTAGTTTCACCATGTTGGCCAGGCTGGTCTCGAACTCCTGACCTAAGTGATCCACCTGCCTCGGCCTCCCAAAGTCTGGGATTACAGGTGTGAACCCCCGTGCCCGGCCAGAACTATTATTTCTTTCCATAGGAAACTGGAATGGAAGATAACTTGAACACTGTCCTATGGAGTTAATAGTAAACCAGGATTAGAAGGCCTGGAGAGTTCTAAAGAAGTTTTTCCATTATGGAGGTTAAAGTCTCAGGTTCAAACCTAGTTACTTTTCCTCAGTTATTAATGGGAAGAATCTCTCTCATCCCTTCTTGCCCCCAAAACCAAACAATGAAACAATAAACAAATCAACTCCAACTCTTCCTCTAGCTATCAATTAATCTCTCTCTGCTTCCTTAATAATCATAACATTTATTATGTGCAGAGTATATGCAGATCCTTTTCAAAATTCTTTACATATATGAATTATTTTAATTCTCACAGAAACCCTGTAAGGTAGGAGTTATGATCCTAATTTTAAAGATGAAGGCGGATCAACTTGCCTAAGGCTATAAAACTATTAAGTGGTAGGGCCAGGATTCAAACTTCCTCAGCCAGACTTCTGAAAAATGGTATACAATCGCTGTCTGTACTTTCTAAACTTCCAATTAATTTCTAATACAGTGCAATTCAGATTCCGCTTTGATCTGATATTCAGCAGGTCAGTATTTCCGGTTTGTCCTATCTGACCAGCCACCTCTGCCATACCATCACACTGACCATTCTCCTCCTTAATATTCTCCACTCCTCTAGTTTTTCTGACAGGTACTTTCCTGAGTAACAGCATACTTCTCAACTATTGCTCTTTCTTCGCTTTTGTGGAGTCCTATTCCTTCACCCTTTCTTCAATGGAGATTCCAGGTTTCTGTCCTTGGCTCACTGCTACAACCTGTCCCTTGGGGAATCTCATCCACTTTCAACTCTGATTATTTCCAAATCTCTGTTGCCAGTTCACTCCTCTTCCTTAAACTCCTGACGCATATATTAAGTATCTGACTGTCTGCTAGACATCTCCAACTGGATGTCCCTTAGGAATCTCAAACTTAACTTGTCCAAAATGAAGCTGTCACTTTTCCCTTCTGTTAAATCTTTTAATAATTATTACATATGGGACTGCTTAAACCTAAGCTCCGTAATATGAAGTATAAAGTTGAGAAACACAGACCCTCATTCTGGCCTTTGCCAGTGTCTTCATACTCATTTCTCAATCCCTTCCTCATCCTTTTTGTTTGCCAAGCAAGGGACAATTCAAACTAAATTGAAATCTCCCTCTGCCCACAACCCCGTAACTCCCTGCTCCCTCTCCCCACAAGTTTGCTCTGCCTGTCTAGAATATAATCCTCGTATGTAGTTCTTTTATGATTTTGCTGAACATACTCATCTGTGAAGACCCAGCTCAGGCATTATTTCCTTTAGTAAGCTTTTCTGGATCCTCCTGGGTTCAATCCGAAATCTCTCTTCTTTGTATTCCCATGATATACAATCTTTATCTTTTATTACTGTATTTCCCACATGGTATTATAGTTATCTGGTTATATATTTGTCTTTCCCATTAGACTGTCAGGGCAGGATATATTGTATTATGCTTAAGGGCAGGAAATATTGTATTATGCTTAGCATAAGCCTTTAAACTTAAAAATTCTCAATAAATATTGAATGAATCCTTCTGAACGTCCATGGTACTCATGGCATTTATTGCTAGGTATTTCTCATGGCATTTATTGCTTTCCATATTGCATAGTACATAACTGTATAATTATTTTTCTAATTATAAAATAAGCATTTTGAGGTCTGTTTCCACATCTGCTTTGTCTTTGTATCCATTATGCCCAGTATATTACTACCCATGTAAAAAGTGCTAAAATGTTTAACATTAAAAAAAAAAAAAAACTTTTTTGGCTATCTCTACTTCTAAGACTAGATTCTGGATTGTGCTAAAACCATGAAAAAGAGTATGACTATCTCAAAATAAATATATTATCACTACACTAAAACAAGTTAAAATGTATCCTGAAACTATCTTTGAAAATGAAGGACAACACATTTTCTAAGCTATTATCATTTAAAGCTAATAATGATACTATCACCACAGCAATGATTTCTTACCAAAGTGTTTACCTAGAAATTGTCTAATTTTTATGTTTTCAACAGAAAAAGTGAGTTAGAGGAAAACACACCCACACACTTTCTCCCTCATATATACCTACACACACTGTGGTTTTTTATAAACCCTGAAATTGAATTCATGGCAAACACTGTAAACCAACACCTTGTCTTAACGTGCAACCAAATACTACTTTAAAACATGTATTTCATATACAGGTCTATGACTTGCCATGAAAACTTTAAGACTGAATATGAAGGTATGCACATAAGGAGAAACCAAAAGAAATAATCTCAGGAGTATATAATTTGGCTAATAATTTTTAAGGTTCAATTAATTAATCCTAGAGGTCTTATTTAATAAAATACCAAAGAAGAAATGGACTACATAATCATGTCTTTCCCTTTAGATTGTCTAAATATATTATTATATATGCAATAAAATATGTAATATATACAATTATATTCAACATAATATATTGCCTAAGTTGAGGAAAAAATGCATGTAACTTTCTGAAATATGCAATCTTCAGGTAGGGTTGTGGTGAATATGTGGATAGAACTTGTAAAAACAAGAATTGAATGAGCAAATTTCAGGAATGCCAAAGAAGCTAGGTCTGATTTTGGTCATAGGATTAAAAATCTTTAAAATGTATGTTTTAAAATTCTATTTCCTACCAATTCTCACATAGAATTGACCATCCCCCCAAGTATCGCTGAAACTATGCTGCCAAGCCTCAGATTTCTGTAACTGATTGTAACAGAATGTAAAAGAAGCTGGAAGATAAAACCATGTTAAATCAAGAGATAATTAAAGAAGTTAGAAGCCATGACTGAAATTAAATATTTTGAAGCATCTTAGTAAGATGTTATACAAGGTTAAAACCAAGTCCAGAACTCAGTCTGTCAATACTGTCAGACTACTTGCTGAATGGAAAACAATATTAGGGGGACCAGACAGTTAGGCTATAGACACTGTCTCTGTTTCTTTGTGTCTGACCTTTATATTCCAGAGCTTAATCCTTGATTTACTCTTTCATCAGTATATCAGAGCAAGACGACTCTGAAAAAGCAAGTTGAGTACATTCTCATTTGCCAGGCAAATGGACAATTTCTATTTTTGTGAACTAGGACTAAATGAACAAAGTGTAGAATTATAATTTAATCAAATTCAAAACTTACTTAGCACATATTTAATATATGACAATATGTTTCTCAAATATAAAGAGCAAGCAGCTAATTTATATGATTGTAATTAGTATCATCTATAATTTACTGAAGCCAAGCTTTTTTAGGTTCAGCTGAAAAGAAAATGAACTGAAGAAAGTATAGGAAGTTGCTACAAGCTTGGTGTGATGATCCCTGGATCTGTTACTATTGGGATGAAGGGAATAGATCGGGGAGAGAAACAGGAAAATCTAAGCAGCTGAGCTCCATTTGTTCCTCACCCTGTTTATTACCTAGAGAAAGAGGCTGGGGCTAATGTGGACTAGACAGTCCAGGATTGGGCATGTATGGTTGAAGGAAAATATGAGGGTAGAAGTGGGAATAATTTCTACAGCAGAAGGGATCTTGGTATCTCTGTTCTACTGCTTTCTTAATAGACCTTTCTCAAGAGACCACTTATCAAAGTAGTCTCAATGTCTTTTAAAATTAACTCAAACCCGGCCAGGCGCGGTGGCTCACGCCAGTAATCCCAGTACTTTGGGAGGCCGGAGTGGGTGGATCACAAGGTCAGGAGATCGAGATCATCCTGGCTAACACGGTGAAACCCTGTCTGTACTAAAAATACAAAAAGTTAGCTAGGCATGGTGGCGGGCGCCTGTGGTCCCAGCTACTTGGGAGGTTGAGGCAGGAGAATGGCGTGAACCTGGGAGGCGGAGTTTGCAGTGAGCCGAGATTGTGTCACTGCATTCCAGCCTGGGTGACAGAGCAAGACTCTGACTCAAAATAAATAAATAAATAAATAAATAAATAACTCAAACCCTTCTTTATGTGTCCTAAAGAATATTTTACATAACGATGTATCACCACACTGTCCTAATCCCCAAAGATTGAGAACTTTAAAAAAGTCACTCAAAAATGGGAGAGAAACCTAACCACTCTTAAGAACAGAAGAGTGCCATAATGGTTAAAACAACTGGATTAAATATTTTCTAAGGTTTTTCTCCTTTAAAACTCTATGATTCGACATGTAGAAAAGCCCAAATGCTTACATTCCCCCAAGTTAGAGCAGCAGAGAGTGTTGAGAATATACTCTGTTCTTCCTGGTTGCCTCCTTTCATTTTCCCAAAGGGAAGGGAATGACTGGTATTACATATATTCCTTGTCTTCAAAGCTACTCTTACACATACAAGGATTGGCCAAACAATGTGACTTAAAAAGGAAAGCATCTTGCTCTGAACATCTTCCCATTGTGCCAAAAATTCCAGCATTCATTTGAATTTTAAGTTAACAGGCAAAACATGTGGAGGAAAAATTAGAGGTGGGAACATTTTAACTTAAAACTGTATTGTTTTAAATAAAGTAACTAGACTTTTAAGAGGCCTGTGTGAAAGGGTAAAAGTAGGAGTAAAGAAGGTAACTTTGGAGGAGGAAAGGCACCGGTGGTAAAGCTCCAACAAATCAGAGGGCAGCATGAGAACACTGGGTTCCCAGAGACAGAGGGAGAAGAATGATAATATGTTGACACCAAAGGACCTGATTCCTGCAATTTTGCTTAATACTAGCCTTATTCCCTTCTACACCTACAAGCTCCAGCTGCAATTCAAACTTTAGGTCTTCAACATAATCTCCTTTATAGCAACGAGACAGAAAACAAAAAAGAATGTCCAGGAGGATGTGTACTACTCATTAGAGCCTTACTTACTGCAAAGGGCAGGCATATAAGCATCAAGCACAATATAACTATATTTGGCACAGAGAACAACAAAGAGTTGATGTGCTCCTTAAGAATCCAAGTGTGGCCGGCTGCAGTGGCTCACACCTGTAATCCCAGCACTTTGAGAGGTTGAGGCGGGTGGATCACGAGGTCAGGAGTTTGAGACCAGCCTAGCCAACATGGTGAAACCCCACCTTTACTAAAAATACAAAAATTAGCTGGGCACAGGGGCATGCACCTGTAGTTCCAGCTACTTGGGAGGCTGAGGCAGAAGAATTGCTTGAACCCGGGACGCGGAGGTTGCAGTGAGCTGAGATTGTGTCACTGTACTCCAGCCCGGTGACAGAACGAGACTGTCTCAAAAAAAAAAAAAAAAAAAAAAAAAAAAAAATTCCAAGTGCCTAGCAGAAAAGGAGCTACAGAAGAACTTGAGCATTATACGAAATCTCTTGGATGCTGAACTCAAGTATGTCAAAGACTGAATACTGCTGTTCATCATTCTGGTATGACTCTGAGGATCAAATGAATGAATAGTAACTCTGGGAAGGGAGATCACAGGTACAAACTCTAAAGAGAAACATGAAGTTTGTACCATAAAATATTGGTGGTGGGTAGATGACTGAGTGACGAAGAGCTAAGAAAGTATTTAAGTGAAACTGAACTGATGGACAAGAAAAGAAGCTAAAGAGAATACAGAAAGGGAGGGAACCAGCTTATTAAGAGTAATAAGGACATTATTACTGATGGCATTACATACATTGTTTCTTTAAATCTTCAAACATTATGATATTAGTTCTATTATTATTACTATTTGTCTGATGAGCAAACTTAGGATGTAGAAAGGTTAATTTCTTCCAAACCATACACCTAGAAAGTTGTACAGGCAGGATTTGTGCCTACTTATGCACTTAACCAATAAATTGGGAGAATGGAGCTTAGAAAGCACATGAGTGGGAAATCATGCCTTTTAGGAGGTGGAATATAAATAAAAGATTTGGCAGCTCTTGTGAGTTCAGCTCTTTTATACTAGGAGTTTCCTTGCAGTGCAATAAAATTTACTTTTATGTTTGTACTGAGCTCATGGTTGCATTAATGGATGGTAGAGGATGAGAAAGGATATTTCTGGAGGAAAAGTAACACTGGGAAATGGCTGTGGGGTACTCAGGCATTACAGGTGAGTGGCAGCAGTGGCAGAGTGCCTGTGAGAGCAGAAACAAGCTGAGGACCTGGCTGGGGTGTGTATTCCTGAAAGATCTGCTGAGAAGACCTCATGTATTTGCCAAAATACATACTGCTCCTAGGTTTTACAACCAAATATATATATATATATTTTTTTGTGACAGGAAAAGGGATGGAGAGGACTTTATTAGAAATAAAAAGATTTTCTAGTGGAAAGAACAACTAAAATAATTTACTCAAACTTCCTTCCCTTTCTTTTTAAGGTGAATAATATCTGTATGAAAATATCATATTAAGTATTTTTAATATCCTGAGCAGATTATAACATGCAATACCATTGTACATGAGGAGGGTTCTCTTTTTATCACACTATAGAATTAACCAAAGTAATTATTTGTTTTGAGAATAGCAAAACACTTATGAAAATGTGCAAACTTCAGTATAAATATTCCACACATATTCAAAATCACTTTTTTGTTGCATAATTTTTAAACATCTAGATTAAGAAGTTCCTTTAGCACAGTATTATGCTAACTACTCTTCTGACTATAAGTATCCTAACAAAACAGAAATAATGAAACATTTAAAAATCTTCCCTGGTTTTAGAAACAGTTCTATGCACAGTATTTGCATTTGAATACATTTTATTTCCCCATTTCTCTAAAGATTAATGTTCAACAGGATAATAAATGCTTTAGGACAAGAATTACTGCCATTTAATGTGGAATAGAGAGAATGTTATTCTAGAAGTAAAGAGAATGAATGATACACATTTAACAGGAACTTCTAAATTATTAAATTGATAGAATTCAGGAGACAAAGTGATAATGCAGTCAATTTATAGTGCATATAGTGCATATGTTAACTAAAATCACTTTGCACATCAGAAAAGAAATTCTTTCAGAATTAGAAATAAATCAATTAAAAATTGATTTATTTTAAAATCAGTACTCTATTATTGGCATACAATAAAACCTATTGGAGAAATTAATTAAAAGTAACTTTTTTGATTATACCATCAGAGGTTTATTTTTAACCAACATAGAAATTAAACAGTAAAGTGCTGAAAAGAAAAGTGAAAAGTAAAATAGAAATCACCAGGAAAAATAAAAATAAGCAATTTTATATATATATATATATATAAACCTATAAATAAGCATTCTAGTTTTAGAATTCTTACAAAGATTGAAAATACTGGGATTCTACAAGTCAAAGCATTTTTCAAAGTAAATTTTTACTTCATTATGTTTAATACTGATAAATCTTTCATTATATTTAAGATAATAAAGAAGCATATTTTGGCTCACATAAATTTTCAAATGTGGTATTTCTAAAACTGACTGCATTACTAGGCAAATTTTTCAAATCAATTCACTGATCTTTTTTACTGAAGGATGCATTGGTTTGAAAATCAAAGACTTACGTCATCCAAAAAATCAATCAGTGAAGATGAGGAAGAAGAAAAGGAATCCTATTTAACGAATACAGCAGTAAAAAAATAGAAAATATGGATGAAGCAATTTAATAAGAACAAATAATAAATCAAAAATTTTGTAAAACAATTGAAAGGCAAATGACATTAATTCAAATAAATAAATGAGAAAAGCAGTCACTATCATTGTTCTTGAGAAACTTAAGAGATTCATTAATTACTTTTTAAAGAGTGATTCTTTTTCCTTTTCCTAAAGGAACGAAACACAATTCATATACTGTGCCCAAAATGTAATAAAATGAAGCTCATGACAAATAATTAACAATCAAATTAAATGTAAGTACTTTTGAAGTAACAACTAAAAGTAAGCAATGGAATTCCTGAGGCTTGTAAATCTTCCCACTGGAATGTAAATTCTAGTGGGAAGGACTTTGTCTATTTTGGTTACTACTGTATCTCGAACACTTACAACAGTGCCTTGCACAAAGCTACATGATTATTATTTGTTGAATAAAGATATAATCACACTTAAATTTACTGAGACAAAAATATACTTGATAACAGTAAGCTGATTTTTTTAAAGCAAAGAATTTAAATACCAAGAAATGATCAAATTACATAATCACAATTTCATTACTGTATGATCTGCCTAACAGGGTCAATGTAATACCTTTTAACAAAAAGCATTTCTTACTGTATAGTTTTTAAAAGAAGAATTGATTTGAAATAAGAATCAGCAATACCTTATTGTCAGCTCTGACATTTTCTCACTTTTTATTGTGGCACTATGCTTTGGAGAATAAAAAAAATTGTCAAATTATTTCAAAAGTTGGGATTTGTTCTGCTCTTAATGTTTCTTAAGGGAAATGAAATTGCTTTTCAATCTTACAATGACTCTCATGATTAGATCTTTCTTAGATGTTTTGTTAAAAAGAGGTGGGATTATAGTCTCCATAAGAAAGCAGAACATATTCCTCTGCTAATATGTTTTTGTTTATTTAAGATTCTAGGTCCTCTCATGTGAGAAGCAATAAAACGGTTTTATTGTAAGTGAATTTTAAATTGACCCCAGAGGATATCTGGCATGTTTAATACTTACTTCAAATTGATCCAGAGCATCGGCAGGCGTATTCAAAAATGCCAAGAAAGAATGCTGTGAGTCTTGGTGCTCTATACCTAGAAGACAGCAGCAACTTTTTTTAAGGCTACAACAATTAAAACTGATTTTAATGGATAACCTTCCCTGTCTGAATCTATTAAAAGCAGTTCACAAACTACTGTATTTCAAAGCTGATTACTATTATTAACTCGACATTTAAACAAAACTAAAATACATTAGTGTTTCCAAGAATATCACTTAACAGTTCAATTATATCAGTTTCCATGAAACGCTTATTTAAGTTACTGAGTTTCTTTCTTTTTGTGTATAGTAAATAATAAAAAAACACATTAAACCTTTTGGTAGGCTTGAGATAATTTAAAAATAGGAGTCTGTTTATGTCTGATTTTTCTAAGCTAATTTAACACCAAACAGGCTTCTGTTTTGAAATACTCTTACCAAAGCATAGAGTATGCACGAATACAAAAATCCTTTATAAGAAATTAATGCGTTGATAAAACAAATACACTTAATTACGAAAAAGCTGTCAATCTGACTTCAGGTATTTTTTTATTGACAGGATGAAGACTCCAAACCCCAGTTTTTCTCAGATGAATTTTTAAAAATTCATACATATCTCTTGACTGTAGCATTAACTTTAAATGCACAATTTCCCAAATAATTCTTAAAACATACAAATAAAAATACCAGGTAGAAAAAAACCAGAAAACAGCCAATCCCCCATTTTTTACTTCCATATGCTTAGGAATTGACATCAGCTGATTTGTGTTTTTCATATTACTATCTAATAACACATCTATTAGTATTACTATCTAAGACTAATAACTGATAACATAGTTATCAGGTAAGGCAATATGTTCAGAAATTCATTCAAATATTGAAAGTGTGCCAGACACTGTTCTAGACACTTGGGGACATAACAGTAAATGAAGCATTAAAAACATTCTTGCCCTCATAATGTAAATATCACATTATATTACTGAAGTAGTAGTATACATTATGTTATACAATACAATTTTGTTCTGCAATATTCAAAATCCAAATTTAAAAAATGTGGTAAACATGCCTTCATAATGTGATAAACTTAAGTCTCCTTCAAGTTTAGGTCTACTCTAAAAATGATACAATCAATGTCATCTGGCGTGCAAGTCATATTCTACACTAGTCTCTCTCCTATTTGCCATTGCGGGCACAAGTTGTCCATGTCTTATGTATTCTTTTTCTTTTCATCACTAAATAATGTATCTCCCTTCCAATTTTCATTAATTAAAACCTAGCTTGATTTTCATTTTGGCATGATGGCTTGTGCTCCTAATCTGAATTACTATTCACTTTTTCTGGGCTCCTTCCTTTTCTTGTTAATTAAGAAATTCAATCAACAAGAATTTATTGAGCATCAACTATCTATAAAGGTTTTTTCATGTTAGCTTCTTTATGTGATTACTTGCTGTTCGCCATCATTTTACATGCAGATGCAGAGACTCCACCAGTTTTACCTCACTGTGTTGCATGGCTGAGAAATGATAGAGAAGTACTTAGACCTAATAAAAAGCCCATTAACGAGTTCGGTATTCAGTGATGGCCGCTGTTAGGAAAATCAATTTCCAATAAATGCATGTAAGATATCCCTTTATTTAAAAAATATCTGTATTTCTTTTTATTAAATCTTCACATTCTTAACATCCACATTAAGGAAAGTTTAAGAAGTTCATGTAATACAGCTATCAAGCACTCTGACTAAGCTTTAACATGAATGGAAAAATGTTCAAGTAAAGTTTTCCAGAAAATGGTAATAAATCCGGGATATCCCACAGGACAAGAAATTTAAGTGTCAAACTGGAAGAAGACATTAAAATGCCCCCCCAAATTTTCCTTATTGAATTGTTCCATTAATACTAGATTAATCTTTAGCTATTTCATACATTATTTCCTCAACTATCCTGAAAGTGTATCCCCCCAAATTTTTATAAATCTAGGCACATAAAAAGTGCTAAGAAATACTTGTTCAAGTACCCTTACCAAGTTCTGAATGTTAACACACATTGCCATTGTCAGAGTGATAACCTCATATTATAGCATTTGAGAATATTATAAAGTACATTATAAAATAAAATTTTTTTCCAATCACAAAAATGTTATTCATGAAGTAGTCCATGGCACTGAAAAAAACATCAAATTTATGGCAAAGTGTCTTTTTCTGTTACTATGAAATCTTTAAACAATGCATATTAAGTAAAACAAAATGACTCAGAGGCCAGTCTTCCAAATGTGTGTGTACGCACATGCATCATATATACACACATATATTCATAAATGAGTGCCAGAATTGCTTATGTCAACAATTCTCCCACCTATGCAATGAACTGATTCTTCTGTAATAAAACATATTTATAACATAACAGTAAGTCCTGAGTAAGGCAAACACACACTCCCATACCCTTTTCAGATCTAAGCTCTTCAGTGTCCTTTATCAGTTGTTCGATTTCTGAGAGCAGTTCCAAGTTCTTCTTCTCTGAATCTTTTAGTTTACTTAAATAAGGAGAAAAAAGGAAAAATGTCATTTTTATTGCTGGTTACTGAGCCATCTTGGATGTAGCCAAACTTACTTGGTTTAAGTGTCAGGCATGGTAAATTAGGGGACTATAAATTACGGCAGGAAGAACGAATACAGCCTGCTACCTACTTTCATGTAGATTAACAGTTTTACTAGAACACAGCCAATCTCATTCATTTAAGTATTAACTATGGCTGCTTTTACACTACAATAGTAGAGATGAGAAGTTGTGATGGAGGCTAATCAAAGCCTAAAATATTTACTAAGTGAGCCTTTACAGAAAACATTTGCTGACCCTGAACTAAATTATTAAATTTAAAAATGTTATAAAATCAAAGGTAATTTTAAAATTCTGTTAGACTTTGTTAGATATTATATCATTACAGGCAACCATGAAAGAGGAGCATATACAGGAGTAAGTTTATAATTTTTCAAACTGGCTCATCTTCCTGACTTATGAACAATATGTAAACTCATATGTCCTAGGTGTAAGGAGAAAAGATCTTACTTATTTCAAATCACAACACAGAGAATGACATTGATTAGCTCTTTACGCTGGGATCAAATTCACTTTCTCCAGGAAAAGTTTTCCCCTCCTCAATGCCACATAAGCACATTTAAGTAAAAGATACAATGTCTGCATTAGTTATAGCAAAAAGCTTATAAACCAAAAGTTTATAATCTGACAGAGGTATCATGTATCTGGCCTTTGATATGATTAAAAAGGTTAACAATTGCAGTTTAAGGACTATGAATACACACCATTAAAAACTGAATTCGTGGGCCTGCATTTCTTTTCAGGCTTTTGGAACTTTTGATATTCTCAGCAGTCAATGGATTTTCATATTTGTAGTTTCACTTGTGATGTGAAGTTTCTATTGTTCCTCTATGTCATGTAAACTGACTTATTTTGAACCATGTTTATAATCAATCTAATTGTGAATCATTTATGTATTCAGAGTATGATTCACTCTAGTGTTGTGACAAGAAATGAGGAAATGTGTTCATTAGCTAACTGCTTCAGAGACTGTGGGATATACTTTTTCTAAATACATAAGGAAACATGAAAAATAATAATTATACTTAAAAGATATTATACCATTGTGAAATGTGCCATCAATAGAATTTTCATTTATAAAACACCTAAAAGACCTATGGTAGAGGCCACAATTTTCAAATGATTATATTTTGTTCTCACCATACATTGTACTTTTATACAAATATAATATTCCTAAACATGAGAGAATTTTAGGTTTAATAAAATTTGAGTCAACTAAATTTTATAAATAAGAGGAAAAGTAAATAATGGATTATTATTTAATACTATTAATTCTACTTTATGGACAAGCCAGAGGAAAACAAGGCTATATTAAAACCTCATCACTATCTACATGGTTTGAAAGCATCTATTTTCAAATCTTCGTAACATATTTGGCCATCATTTTTCTAAAAGAAAGCAATGGAAACTAAACATGTAACTTCTCCACAAATGACTCTGACAAACTCAGAAATTATTCTAGTGGGACTATATTATTCAATCTTACCATTCTGTTATGATATTAGATGCTTTAACTTTATTCAACTCTTCTTGGATGGCCTGTTTGGCTCTTATTTCTGCATCCAGAGCTGACTGCAACTCCAGTCTAGCTGACATATCCAGTTTCGCAAAACGACGCATTTTCCAGGGCATATCCTATGAAATAATGACTGTGTTTTTAGTTCCATCCTATTTTTAACATTTAAATTATTACAGTTAACCAGCTGTGTGTTATGTTTTTCTAGACTGGAAAAGACCCAAACTAATCGTTTTCTCATAAAAAACTCTTTAGTAGGCTCAAAGTCTAAACAAACTGATACAAGTAACTGGATTTATTATAGTGTTTTTTAAATCTCTTTTTTCTAATATGATGAGCCTCCATGCAAAATCATAGAAGCTTACTGTTGCTCGTGTACCCAAGCTGGAATTTCTTAATGCCTCCAATTCTTCAGTCATTTTAGAAGCTAAGGCCTGAAGATACCCTCGTGCATCCTTTTCATCGCTGACCCTAGAATATGTAAAGACAAAGTACAAAAGTAAAACAAAAAAGCTTCAGGGCAATATATGTTATTTTAAAGCTTCCTAAAGAAATAAGTGATAGGAAATTCAAAGATAGTCTTAAATAATTTCTTTGAAAAGGTCTACCATAGTATACTACCTGTCAGCAACTGGGAAGAGGTTTATGGAACTGTTCTTTTTATGTACATGGTAGAGCTGGTGAAGTTTACAAAAGTCCAAGTTACTCATAGCTGATAAATTAGTAAAACTTCACCCTTGAAACACAGAATTAACATTCTTTAAATCTAACAATTAACACAGATGCACACATGGGTGAGGTTTTCTAAATAAGATTTCTCATTAACTGAATTCTGTCATTTTACATCATAAAAACAACATACCATTCTTAAAACTGAAGTATATTAAATTTAGAAAGTTTAATGTATGATATTCTGCAAAAATCAGGGTTATATTGTAATTAAGCTCTTCTGTTTTCTAAAATGATCACTAAAATAACAAAGAGAGATTAAACTACCAAAACCCAATTTCTACTTACTGCCTTAAGGCTATCTAGCTGATGATACAATAATAATTTTAGATAGAAACTTTTCAAATTATATTTAGTAAGACAAATTCCACACTTTAGAATTTCTCAAGAAAAAGTCTGCATTTCTTACACTTCCCTCAAGTGGTGAGAAGGTGAAGGGAGGAGTCTAGCATATCTACAAAAATCTACAAAAGAAGGTCCTATTCTCAGGAAGAATGAAAACCACTGGTATAAAGAAAGCCATATTGCACAAAGAAAAAAATGGAGTCGAAATTTGCAATGCTCACAAGTGTATTCTAAAAGACTTTGGGGAAGACAATTTGTCTTTGTGCAGGCTGGCAGTTTTCAGATAAAATCCATGTCACTGAAGCTACGAGGAAAGTATATTTCAGGTAAATCAGTATGTATCTGATGCATACAACAGACATGTTTAACTCCTGAGCTGCTTTAGTATCTCTTAGAATGTAAACTCCTGAGGAGTCAAATTCATATATATCTTAAAGAGGCCCTTTAAAAGAGGCTTGGTGCTCTCTTCTCTTAGATGGGAGGTTGTCTTTGGAGTACAAGCAAAAGAAAATATGGAGATGCAATAAAACCATTGTAAGAAGTTGTCCACTCTAGGGAGAGTTACATATTCCTAGGCTCTATGTAAATGTAAATATTTTTATTGCCTGTTAAAGAAAAATGGTTTTGGAAATTATTTTAAGAATGTTTGTATAGTAAGGGTTGTGTCCTTCTAAAATTATTTGATCACAAGTGACTGCAATCTTTTTACTTAATTACCTGGTATGTAGTATAGAGAATAAATTGGCATGAATGAAGATTATCTTTTTTAGAATACAAAAAAGATACTTAAATGGTAACAATAAAGAAAACTGTATTATCTGTTAAGTGCCTAGGCTAACAGGGCTCAACTAGTGCTGGTTTAGTATCTACCATAGCTCAGAGATCTTAGTTTACGCATATTTCCAAGAAACTGTGAAGTCCAGTATGTTTTATTAACTTTGGAAATCAACTTCTTGTAAACTGACTTTAAGTTATCTGGAATTTTATGAGACAATCTCTTTTTTCTAACTTTGCTTTTTATTTACATGTTGAACACATTACATGTTGAACACATTTATTTACATGTTGAACACCTTACAACTGCAATCTTCCGCTAATTCCTAACTTTCGATTAAACCTACTTCTCTTTTTCTTGGCTATAGAGAATTACTGATTTGGAGGGTAACTCATGCCATTTAAGTTCCACTGGGCGCTACATCTCACACAGTTCCTTTTCATAATCATTGCTATTTGTCTATTATTCAACCTCATTTAAAAAAAATCTTGTTTCTCCAACCCCAACACTTTTTTTTTTTTTTTGAGAGAGAGAGAGAGTCTTGCTCCATTGCCCATGTCAGAGTACAGTGGCACAATCTCAGCTCACTGCAACGTCCGTCTCCTGGGTTCAAGCAATTCTCCTGCCTCAGCCTCTGTAGTAGCTGGGATTACTGGCACACGCCACCATGCCTGGATAATTTTTGTATTTTCAGTAGAGACGAGGCTTAGCCATATTGGCCAGGCTGGTCTTGAACTCCTGACCTCAGGTGATCCACCCACCTCAGCCTCCCAAAGTGCTGGGATTACAGGCATGAGCCACCACACCCGGCCCTAACACTCTCTCTTACTCCTTGCTTCTAAGCCATTTGGTTCAGTTTACTCATATTCCTTCTCTTAACTTTTAAAAACAGTTTTAGAGGTAGCTGTCTCATCTTTTATTTGGTTAAATCGTTCAAATACTTCTTAGTAACATAGTTATTATTACTATACATAATCACCCTCCCTACTACACCTTATATTTTCAATTTCATTATTTCCATTGGTTTCTTTAAACATGAACAAACTCTACCAAATACAAAAGTTCCCTGTCCTCCTCACTGACAAACCCCCAAACATCCCATTTTTCCCTCTTTCATTGTTCTACTACATACATGTAAGTGCTCTAGTATTAAACCCTCCATTCACTACTCTATACTTCCTGAAGTCTAATTCCTGCCTCAACTATTTTGCTGAAGCTAATCTGTTAAAACTCAACTACAGAAGGCCAACTTAGATCTATGTGTTCTCTTGGCACATTTAATCCTTCCCTTCCAAGTTCTCTCAAATAATCAATTAGTTAATACTTATTAAATACTATTACATTGGGCACATTAAGAAGACAAAAGAAGACAAATAAGGGACAGTTCCTGAAAAGTTGGTGCATATATTGTAATTAGGAACTTTGATTCTTAAGTCATACAGACCTGGTTTCAAATCCTAGCTCTGGTGCTTACCAGCTGTGTGACTTTGGCCAGGTTACTTCTCTAACTTTGTTATCCCATCTATAAAATGAGGATAGTAATAATACCTATCTCACAGAACTGGTGTAATAACTAAATAAGAATACATGTGAATTTCCAGCCTAATGACTGGAACACTCTTATGTTTCAATCAATAGAAGCTATTACTATACACAAATGAGCATTACTGAATGAGGAATGTTTCAAATAATGTGAGTGGATTTAAATAAAGAAAGACAAAGGTTTCATTACTGAAACGCTTTGTAATCATTAAACCCTTCTCCTGGTTCTCCTGCAGAGCTGTTTCATCTAGCTTGTATCATATAGCCCTTACCATTCTCCTTCTTTCTTGTTTCCTTAAAAACATCTCAACCACTTCATTGGCCTTATTCAATAGGAATTTAATTCCCAAATTTACATTTCTAATCCTAACCTTTATGTTAGTTTTTCAAAAGCATATGAGAAACCTCTACTAAGATGCCTCAGGATCACCTCAGTCTCACCAACAAACAAAATAAAATAACAGATAAAATTGATTGTATCATCTTCCCCAAGGGTGGTTACCTCTCTTAACTTTCCTACTTCAATGATGCCATCATTTTCTTAACCACCTTAACTAACAATTCAGGAATACTAATTTCTCCTCATCTCTCACCCTTCATTTGTAAGTAGTATTATGTCCTATAGATTTTTCTTTCACAACGTCTCCTGCATTTATTCACTTTATTTCCAACCTTACCATCTATTTCATCCTGAACATTACTGTTAAGAGCTATTTGCCTCATCATCATTTTAATTAATACCATTACCTTTGCAAAAAACCTTCTCCATCTTACAAATAAGTGAAGGTAAAATTCTTACCTAGTATTCATGACAATTGTGTTGCAGTAACTTGATTACTCTTATTTCCTACTATTCTTTTACATAAATTCCAATTTGGTCAAACTAGGTGTAGGATATTTTACTAAACTCAGGCTTTTCAGAAAACACAGTCTAGTTTAACTGACTGCTCCCACCCTTCTTGAGCAACTAGTCTGAGATAATTCCCTCAACACTACATTCTTATTTTTAAAAAGTCAGTATCTATTCAATATGTAAGGCATTTATATTTAAGTCTTGTAAGTTATCGCCAGTTCTGGTCAAAATAGTTTTTAAACTTTAAATGTTAAGTTATAAGTTACTTAAAGGCAAGTACTACATTTATAGACCTCTGTATCTCATATTGTACCAAAAGAATGCCTTATGTGAGGAAACACATTTAAAAAATAAATCTTATGGATTAGCCTATTAATCTAACCTCTCTTTGTAATATTATTTCAAAGAGCAAACGTGAAGTCCTCTGATGAGCCAATGGTGAGAAGGAAGGTTCCTACTCTAACAGTGATGAGAAGAAGATGTCCTTGCTCTAAAAGGGTTTCTTATGAAAGGGATATTTCATAGCAAAAGAGAGAGGAGGTGGAGTTCAAGAGCCATTAGAAGTGACTTCACATAAGGTTTTATATACTGCAGTATTTGTTTTATATTAAACTGTTCATTTGTCCCAGGAAACATTTAAGGTGCTGCATGTCATGAGGTCCTATAATCTTGTTTGAGCATTACTTCATTTTTTTAAAGCAGGTTTAGTACTTGTAATCTGAAAATCCAAAATCTGAAATGCCCCCAAATCTGGAACTTTTTGAGTACTGACAAGATGCTTAAATTTTTGGATTAGGGATGCTGAACTGTTAAGGATAATGCAAACTTCCTAAAATCCAAAAGAAATCCAAAATACTTCTGGTCCCAAGCATTTTGAATAAGGAATACTTACTCTGTATACTAAACTCAAAAATGAAAATAACTCAGTCTTCCGACCTTTATAAACTTGGATATTGTATCTCACAGAGTTACCTTTCAAGTAGGTAAGAAAGTTGAACAGGGAATATATATTTTACTTTTTCCCTTGGGTATTTGCCAATCTGCTATCTAACAGTCCATTTCTAAATAAGAAGTGGGGTTAATAACAGCTTTTATGCAAAGTGACTTCCTTGTATTTCTGATTTCTGCATTTCGCTTGAATGTGAGAAGTGTATAATGAGTGTTTTGTGGCATCATATAAAACTTTCATCTTCACCCTTCCTATTAACCCTTTCTACAAAGCCCACATTGAAAGCTTCCTTCTATTACTAGAACCACTTCCTGTTCCAGCTGAAATCATCATGCCTGACACTTGAAAAAATCAGAAGTCTAGGATCACAGGTTTTGACTCTGCCTTCTGAAAAGTCATTTTCAGCTCCACCTTAAATATGTATTTGATAACATAAAAATGGAATTACAAATGGCAAGTTATAATTTTTGATATTATAAACTTGGTTAAAGATTAAAATGGATTTTGCTTCAGAAATGCAGACTTGATGATATAGATGTAAATTAATGAACCAATAACTATACTGTCTGGAACCCAAATAAATTTCCACAATCTGCATATTCCCTTTATATGCACTGAATAGAAACATTATAAGCATAAGAGCTCTTAATGGAAAAGCATTTGAACCAAAATATGCGTATAGGAAATAAAATTCCCTACAAATGACTAATCTATAAATAAATGATGAAACTACAGGTTGGATATCCTTTATGTGAAATGCTTGAGACCAAAAGTATTTTGGATTTCAGGATTTTTTTATGTTTTGGAGTTTGGAATACCCGAATAGACATAATGAGGTTACCTTGGCAATGGGACCCAAGACAAAACACAAAATTTGTGTATGTTTTATATACACCTTATAAATATAGCCTGAAGGTAATTTTTTACAATGTTTTAGAATAATTTCTTGCGTATGAAACCAAGTTTTGACTGTGACCCATCACAAAGTCAGGTCTAAAATTTTCTACTTGTGGTATCATGTCAGCACTCAAAAAGTTTCACATTTTGAAGCATTTCAATTTCAGATTTTCAGATTAGGAATGCTCAACCTGTATTTGTTTTGATATAAATTAAACACCTACCATTTGCCAAAAAGGATTTAAAAAGTTAAATGAATATAAAAAGTTAAGCTACCTACTTTTACTTGGAAATACAGTCTTCATTAGATTCTGCTTTCTCCATGTATTATTAAAATATGAAATTTTTTACAAGCACCAGAATAATGGTTTAATAAATGAATATGAAGGTTACTAAGATGCATATTCCAAATGAAATCCCAAGAGCTTGAGAAAGAGCTGATAAAACTAAAATGTAACCATTTAAGGTTTTAAAAATGTCATGTGTGAATTAATCTGGTATAATCATGATAGAAGGTAACAGTACAGTATCTTTAGCTTCTAAGTTTTTTGCAGGCCTTCCATTTCTTAAAATACTCACAAATACAGGAGTTTTGGTCTTAGAAAGAAACATCCATAGGTAGCAGATGAATTCCAACTCTGACTCTGGAGGTGGTAACATTTTCTTAGAAAGTAATAATCAGATTACAATGAAGCTGTGTTAAATGCTGGTATGGGACATTTGTTAGAGTTAGGGAACAGAGGAACATAACAGAAAACACATTAGAACGCAAATAACAGGTCAGTAATAAAATTGTGCCTTTCAGAGTAACTTATTTATCATAGCTGACAAATGAGATAAAAACCATTATTAGTAGCCACCTGGAATTCACATCAACTTGGCCACATACTCACAATCATCCACAAAAGAACGTTTAAAAGAGCACTCACCACTGAATTATTTCTGTGATTTGGGCTTCCCAATGTGCAACTGATTCTTTCTTGTCTGCTAGATCTTTAACCTCTTCTTCTAACTGCTGGTTGTGTATACTTAAGTTCTCATACAAAGTAGTAAGCTGAAAGGTAGTTTTAAGAAATGCATGACTTTCAGGACCAAGAATCCGAGATGTTCAGACAGGTATTGTCAAATTTGATTACTCAACATCATCTACCCAATAATGCTTGTCTTATAATAATAATCCCTTTTGCTCACTGAATTTGGATATCAAGTACTCTGAATTCTCCTGCTATCTTTGCTTTTTCCTTACATCCTACAGTGACTTGGTTCTGTGAACATTCTCTACTTGGCTTAAGAATTGCCTATTTCTGTTTGAAATAACTTTTTTTTTTTTGGTCCAAAAAATGTCTTTATGTCATCTTTTCTTCTTTAAAGAAGCTTATAATTTCAAGCATATACAAAAATGGAAAATATAAATGAATTCCCATGAGCCCCACTACCTAATTTCAACAATGATTACTTCAACATCAATCTTGTTTCACTTGCATGCCTGTTCTTTTTTTTTTTTTTTTTTTTGAGACAGAGTTTTGTTCCTGTTGCCTAGGCTGGAGTACAATGGCGCGTTCTCGGCTCACTGCAACTTTTGCCTCCCGGGTTCAAGCAATTCTCCTGTCTCAGTCTCCCCAGTAGCTGGGATTACAGACATGCGCCATCACGCCTGGCTAATTTTTTGTCTTTTTAGTAGAGATGGGGTTCCACCATGTTGGTCAGGCTGGTCTCGAACTCCTGACCTCAGAAGATTCGCCCACCTCAGCCTCCCAAAGTGCTGGGATTACAGGTGTGAGCCACCACACCTGGCCTATACGCCTGTTCTCTTATCCCCTCTTCCTGTATTATTCGGAAACAAATACTAGACATCATACAATGTTATCCATGCATATTGCTGTATGTATCTCTAAAAAATAAGGATCTCTCTTTTGAAATATAACCACCATAGCATCATACTACAAATTTCAGGAATTTCCTAACAGCACATAGGCAGTAATAGTTCAAGTTTCCCCTTACTTCAACATATCGCAAAACTTAAGTTTGTTAAATTCAATCATGATACCAATAAGAAAACACAGCTGAATGGTTAATGGTTGGAGATATATACATATATATATATATATTTTTATTTATTTCTTTATTTCTTTATTTATTTTTTTGAGCAGGGTTTCACTCTGTCACCCAGGCTGGAGTGCAGTGGTGTGATCTCAGCTTATTACAACCTCCACCTCCTGGACTCAAGCAATCCTCCCACTTCAGCCTCCCAAGTAGCTGGGATTACAGCTAAAAAAAAATTAGTACCTGGCTAATTTTTTATTTTTTTAATTTTTTGTAGAGATGGGGTCTCGGCATGTTGCCCAAGCTGGTCTCAAACTTCTGGGCTCAAGCCATCCGCCCACTATGGTCTCCCAAACTACTGGGATTGCAGGCATGAACCAGCACGCTTGGCCCAATATGTCTTTTAAGTCTATTTTATTTACAGGTTTCCCTGCAACACCTTTATTTTTCTTTGACATGAAGAATGTAGGTTGTCATGGCCAGGCGCGGTGGCTCACACCTGTAATCCCAGCACTTTGGGAGGCCGAGGCAGGTGGATCATGAGGTCAGGAGATCGAGACTATCTTAGGTAACATGGTGAAAACCTGTCTCTACTAAAAATACAAAAAATTAGCCGGACGTGGTGGCATGAGCCTACGTAGTCCCAGCTACTCGGGAGGCTGAGGCAGGAGAATTGCTTGAACCCAGGAGGCGGAGGTTACAGTGAGCAGAGATCATGTCATTGCACCCCAGCCTGGGTGACAGAGCAAGACTCTGTCTCAAAAAAAAAAAAAAAAGGAATGTAGGTTGTCCTGCAGTTTTCTACATTCTGAATTTTTGCCTTCATTTCCGGAAGGCATTTTTTGCTGTAAATAACATTGTAACTTGGCAGTTATTTTACTATAGCATTTTTAGGACATTTTTTTTCTTCTGAATTCCATTTTTAATTTTTTCTGTTGGGAAGTCAGTTTTCAGTCGAAGTTTCAGGCCTTTGAACATAAATGTGTCTTTCTTCTCTGGTTGCTTTTAGAATTTTATGTTGGTTGGTTTCTGGCAGCTTATCTAGGATTTGTCTAACTGGGGTCTGATTTCTATTAATTCTTTCACTTTTAGGGTTTGTGGTATTTCTTGAATTTGTGGCTAAATGTTTCTCACAGATTTGGAAAAATTCTGGGCCATAAACACTCTTTGAATATCGCACTGCCACCATCTCGCTCTTCTCACCTTTTGGGAAACCAATTATTTGTATGTTACAACTTTTCATCACATCCTCTATGTCTTATATCCTCCTTTCTATATTTTTTATTCTTTTTAATCCCTGAGTACACTTTAGTCTAAATTTTTTTTTAAACATATGTAGTCCTTTTCTTTGTTTCTCTCCAATCTGTTAAAACGTTCATTGAGTCTTTTGGTTATTTTATTTTTTGCTCCTGGAAATTCTATTTGACAGTTTTGTAAAGATTCTAGTTGTTTGCTGAAATTCTTCGTATGTCTACTTTCTTAAACAAATTACACAATTATCTTAAAATCTTTTCATAAAAATTTCATACTGGGAACTCCTGCGGGTCTGTTTCTACTGACTGCCTGGTTTTCATTTTCCCTTTTCTGATTTTGTTTTTGCTGTTGAATTTTTCTCTTGGTTTTCAATGATTTGGTTGTGTTTGCTGATATGCTTGGTAATTTTTTTCCTGCATGCCACATATCATGCATAAAAATTTTAGATAATTTTAAGACTCTAGATAATATCTTCCTCCAGAGGTTATTTACTTTTACTTTTGGTAGGCAATCAGAGTAAAGATAGATCTTGGAGGCTGGGTTTCAGTCACTGAGGACTTATCTTTCTTACTCACCCTTACTCCTAAAATGTAGGCTTTCAGTGGGTTCAACTGAAAGTCTGAATTATTTACTAAGGATCCTGCAACTTGATAGGCAATGCACTTCCATTTTTCTCTCTCCAGCCTTGTAAAACTGTGGAATACCATGTTCAACTTCCTAGATTCTGAGATTTTTCTGCTTTCATATCTGCAAATGCCTAAAGAGGAAAAGTGGCACTAAACGTTGGGCTCACTGCTGTGTACTATTATTCCCTTTAGGATCTTGGTCAGTAAAGTCCTGGTTTCCTTGTTGTCACTCCAATGACTTCTTACAGATGAATCCTATAAGTGGTATTCATATAGTATTATTTTTAAAATCAAGCTTTATAGCTCTTCTTGGTGAGGTGGTAGGATGTAAGCTATTCTGTCACAGAAGCAGAAAGTTCTTAAGTTTTTAGAAAATTCATGAAAAAGGCTGGGTGTGGTGGCTCACTTCTGTAATCCCAACACTTTGGGAGGCCGAGGTGGGTGGATGACCTGAGGTCAGGAGTTTGAGACCAGCCTGGCCAACATGGCAAAACCCCGTCTCTACTAAAAATAAAAAAATTAGATGGGTGTGGTGGCACATGCCTGTAATCCCAGCTACTTGGGAGGCTGAGGCAGGAGAATCGCTTGAACTCGGGAGGTGGAGGTTGCAATGAGCAGAGATCACACCACTGCACTCCAGTCTGGGTGGCAAAGTGAGACTTCATCTCAGAAAAAACAAAAACAAAAACAAAAACAAAACCACATGAAAAAATATTTGCTTACTATTTTATTTCATAGCTACATTTTTTTTCCTGATAAATGGTCTCATCTGCTATTTAATACTACTCCTTTCTTTCTTTTTTGTATGTTTGTAGAGATACTGTGCTAGTTTCTTCTTGATGACTCAACTTTGATGAAGGTGAGTTGCTCCTAGAGGATCTATTCACAGGTTTTTAGGGATAAAAGGGCCATGTGATTGTCAACTTGACTGGGCCACAAGGTGCCTAGACATTGGGTCAAACATTATTCTGGGTAGGTCTGTGAGGGTGCCTCTTAATAAGATAACATTTGAATTGGCATACTGAGAAGACCCCCCTCCCTAATGTATGTGAGTCCCATGTGATCAACCTGAACAGAACAAAAAGGCTGACTGCACCAATAGTAGCGGGGAACATCAGCTGTGACATCAGCTTCTCCTGCCTTCAGACCTGAAATGAGACAGAAGCTTTTCCTGAATGTTAAGCTTGCCAAGCTTTGGGACTGGAACTACAAAATATACTCTCCTGGGTCTCCAGCTTGCCTAATGCAGATCTCGGGACTTGTCAGGCTATATAATCACTTGATCCAATTCCTTATAATCTCCCCTGCTCCCAACACACATACACACACACCCCCACCCCCCACATACACTCACTGTATTGGTTCTGTTTCTCTGTGGAACCCTACCTAATACAGGCCACAACCATGTTCTAAGTCAAGGGTCTGCAAACTTTTTCAGTAAAGAACCAGACAACAAGTATTTTCACCTCTGTGGGCCACATAAAATCTCACATTATCGCCATCTTCTTTTTAAAAATAGCCATTTTAAAATATAAAGATCATTTTTATCATGTGAGTCAGACAAAAACAATCTGGGAGCTAGATTTGGCCAGAGGCCATAGTTTGCCAACTCTCAATTCTAAGTTATTAGGAATTCTATTAATGACACAGGATTTTATTGGTGTTTATTTTTAACCTGTATTTCTGTGCAGAGATAGGCAATTTTGGCACAAATCACAAAGCAAAGTTTCATTTCTTCCCCTCTGGCAAAACAACAGCAATAAATTGTTTTACGCATATAGAGTTTGTCTGTAATTCCCCCATTTAATCCTACCTCCAACCTCCTTGTCTTCCCAAAAGGAAATGAGATCCAGGGAAGCTATCAGTCACTGCTTGCACACACTGATTTGCCTATCGCAAACAAGAGATTTAAGTTTTGTACCTCAGGGTGTGCCATTCACCTCTGAAGATACAGTTTACCAGTTTTTTTTTTTTTACACTTTTACTGAGGTATAATTTATATAACATAAAATTCACCCATTATAAGTATATAGTTGAATGATTTTTAGCAAACTTAAACAGTTGTACAGTGATTGCTACAATCCAGTTTTGGAACACTTCTAATACTCAAGAAATATCCCCATGCCTATTT